GGTGAACGTGGCAAATCCTATGGGTTTTCCCAGAAATAAAGACAGTTTAAAAGGTAAAGCAAAGCAGAATGCAAAACGGAATGTGTCATCTATCCATTATGTCCCCTTAGCAGGCACGTTTCTAGGCATTTCCAGGAAAGCAGGACGTGGTCAGGTTTAGCGCTGACTTGGGAAACCATATGCTGTCATGTTGCGTGTTTCCCCCTTTCTACTTCTTCACCCAGCTTAGATGGTTGAGCATAGCATCATATGGTGTGGAATAGGCCTTTGGTTGGTTTGGTTCAGAAGTCCCAGCTGTGTTCCATGCAAACTTTTTGTGCCATCCACCTCCTGGAGAAAGGAAGCCAAAGGAGAAACAGAAATTGCTTTGACTCTGCGTGAGTACTGTTCAGTGATAGCTAAACATCAGTGTGTTTGAAGCGCTTTCTTTGGTCACAAAACACAGCACCCTGCTAGCTACTAGGAAGAAAATTATCTCAGTCCCAGCTAAAAAAGTACAGTGTGAAAGAAAAAATTTGAAATAACAGTCTTTTAAATGTCATGCAGTTTTTGTTTTGCCCAATCTGTTTGATTTTCAAAGGGCACAAAGTTTAACTGTTTACAATAGGAGGAGTTTGGCTTAGGGATGTACAGCAGATTATAATGGAGAAGTTTCTGAGTGTATACACGGAAGTGTGGGGTTTGTCAGTTCTAATGGCACAAAATAAGTACAACAAGTGTATATTGTTGTACAACAACTGTATGACAGCACTGTATATTGTTCTGGCTTACTGTCTTTGTATTTAGAATAGAAATAGACACTTTTAATTTTTTTAGAGTAGTATTTTATTAGTGGAAAAATACTGCCTTCAGTTTAATCCTTCAAACAATATGCTTTGGACTTTGGATCTTATAAAAGAGGAAGGACATCTGGTGTGTCAAAGAACCTTTCTGAAAAAAGTAAGCTATCAAAAGATTAACAACAGGCAATTGAGATAAAGATGGAAAGTTATTGTTCATATTTGTTAATATTAACACTGTGTTAATAACATAGTGATCTGTGGTTTTGCCTTTGACAAAATTCATAAACTAAAGGATAGAGAATAATATTTTTCAAAAATGGCAAGTTTTGTAAGGCTGTTTTTCTAGTGGGGGTCTAGTTAGACCCTGAATAAACAAGGATTAGGTTGTTTATTGTTCTTATACTGCTGAAGCTAATACTTCATGTTAGCAACTCAAACTCTGCAGTCACCTCTTGTCCTTTGCCCTCTATCCTTACCCTAGATTGGGAGATAAAGTAATAAGATGAGAGTTATGAAAAACTTAATACAATGTATTCATTGTCAAGATACTGAAATGAGCAGCATAAATAGTTGTCAGCTGTCTGCATGTGAACAAAACAAATTACAAAGGAAGGCCACAATGCATAGAGGATGTGAGGGAGAATAATTATTACTCAGGAATGACTCTTGAACTAAATTAGCAATTGGTACCAGCTTTTAGTTAGGAAGGTGCTAGTTGTGGAGGGTTTTAGAAAGATGTTGGAAAAGACGGTCTGAAAATAGAAGTTGGACAGCAAAGGTAAACACAACATCCAATTTGAAGGCAATACAAAAAAAATGTAATTTCAAAATTCTAAAAAGACAAGATATTGAAAGAACCTGTAATGGGAGATTAATAAATGTGTTTGTGAGCATAGTGGTACAGTGTGGCTAAAGCATGAGTGATTCCTTGGTTTAGGACGGGGAAAAAAAGATTATTTAAATATATAAAAGTTTGTAAGTGTACTCTTGATCCTGTGCAAGGTTTTAGAGTAAATTTTAGCAAGACTGTGACCACTGAAATATGGAGAGACATGATTAATTTGAGCAGCTCAATCTAGTGAAAGATGTCTCACCTACAGCAAGGGGATTGGGACTAGATATTTTAAAGTCCTGTCCAACCCAAGCCATTCCATGATTCTAACCGTGACAAGAGCTCTTTATTATGACCTTGCTGCAGAAGAAAACATTGTGTAACTGCACTTGCCTGACTGACTGGGCAGATACGTCAATTGTAGGCTGATGACAAGCTCAGATGTATTGATGCAATATGTTGCATCTCCAAAAAATGAAATCCTAGCACACATTAAGAAAGAAAATTTCCGACAATGATGAGGGCATGTTAACTTGCCACATACAAATGGATAAGGTACAGGCATTTCCGATCTCTTGTACTAGAGAGTAATGGAAACTGGGCCAGCTGCAGAGAAACACTGGGTGAAGGAAAACTGTTTCTTATGATATGGTTTTACCTTTCATTCAACTCTTTTGTTGAATGAAAAGGTAATGAATATGAAGATGAGGAGGTGATATTACTACAGTCTGTCAGGGTGGTGGAGAGTAAGAAAGTCTGTTTACCGTTAAGTGGAATACTGCAAAGTAGCCATTGATACCATTAGCTAAATTTAGTATTAAAGCAAATCTGCATCATTTGTGACATCCTTACTTGCATATTAATTGGAATTAAAAAATGCAAAATCAAAATGAATTGTCACTATAAAAGAAGGGCATTTAAATATGCTGAAAGCATACCTTTAAAGTTAAAATTTGCCATTTCACCCTTTTTATAGTGAGGAAGTATAAATGTAGTGTTCTTTATTATACTGACGTAATGTATTTTATGACTACATATTTGTGCTGTTTATTTCAGGAGAGCAAAATTAATGAGTTATGTTGCGGAAACCCTGAATTTCACTCATCAAATTGTACGTATTTCTTTTCTTTAAGATTCAGTGTTCTGATGGGTCTTTGACCTCTTGATTTTGCTCTTTTTCTTAGCTTCTAGAACTCGCTGTTGTTTCAGCACTCTCTCACAGTTCCTAACCAGAATTTGTATCTGCATGTTCTAACTAGGCCTTATAACATGTCATGAAAAAAATGTTTGTCCAAGAAATGCAAGTATATGTAGTGTATTTTTCTAGTTCTTTTCTTCTTCTTAAGTATGTGTGCGAACTGGGTTTATATCAACATGCAAGATTAATTTTCAGAAGAAAACTTAAGTAGCCTTAAAAAATCCATGCAAAATGTTTGATTTTCTTCAGCAACTCCGTACTCACTTGTAATTTAAATTAAATTCTTGCAACATAACTGTGTACTTTGCTCAAGAGAAGGAAAACTTGTTTTTCTGGTAGGTGTGGCTGCTGTTACTGACATTAGAAGAGCAACAGCTATGGGAAATAAAATGTACCAGGAAGTATCTTAGGTATTGTACCAGTGTTTCTCCTCACAGTATTGTTCTGTATTGAACAATTATTACCATTTACCTTAAAAGTATTTATCTGTTTAAAATAAACAATTAGTAGATTACTTTAGCAAAAAATGAATGGAGGACTGAACAGAACCTCACTCTGCTATCTACCTTAAAACATACTTTTTCCTTTCCGCTGTTTGCTGTTCAAAATGCAATTGAAAAGGCATATTTTTTTCTTGTTAGTTATTTATTGCTAGAAAAAGTAGAAGAAAGAACAGGTACAGGTAACAAATTTATTTTGTTATTTACTGTTGATGTGTTTTGATATTTCTTTAATTAAAAAATATTTATTCTATAAGATAGATCAATATTTTAAGTCATAAATAGATAAAAACAAGGGGGAAAATGTTAAATGTGACCTTCTCTTTGTAAGAATGCTAAAATATATAACATCCTTGGAATAAGAAGGCTCGGGGGAAACCTGTACTTTAGAACGTATCATAAAAAGACTTAAAAAGTTTGAGTTGTTTTCAGTCACAAATCTCCAGCTAGAAGTCATACAGCAATGGCAGATTCTTACTATGTATTTGCTGTTCTGCTCTCATTTTAAGGACTTATGGGGATACTATCTTCATTTCAGAGACAGAAGAGTCAGTGCTTTCTGCTGCTTCTTTTCTGCTTTGTGCCTAGTGATGCAGTGAGATTTTTGGTGCCCCTATAACTATTCTCTTCTGCAGAGAAACACTTGGTTTCTCTGCAGAAGAGAGATTTCTTGGTAGCTAGCAAAGTCTGCTGTAAATCACATCAGCCTTGGCATATGGGACATTTTCAGGGGTGTGTTGTGACTGTGGTTCTCCCTAATTCACTTTTTCATGAAATAGCAATTGTTAAAATACAGTACATTATTTTGAGGGCACAGGCAATTATTTTTCGCCTGCTAGAAACATTTTCGTTGTCTTTTGCAATAGCATCAGTTCATTCCATCCTGTCATTTTACTCCACACTTCCTGCTGGCAGTTGGGGAAACTCTCTTCTACCAATGCAGTTTTCTAATCTGACATGAATTTAATTAATCTGGGACACTTTTTTTCCCCAAGAATCTCTGTGGTACAAGCAGGCCTTTGAGGAGACTTGCTGTCACTCTTCTATTTATGGATCATATTTGAATACCTAAAGGTGAATTTGTAGAAAACACTTTCATCTAGGCTCCACTTGCAGAAATTAGTGCTTGAGAGTGCCATAAACTCCCATTCAGGCATTAACACTTGCTAGCACAAATGCTGCTAAAGACTTTGGTCATCCAGTCACTCAGGACTGCCTACCTGTACCTGCAGCAGCAAGAGTTTTAAGCCCGAACCCCCAAATCATGCCAGGAGCTAAGACAGCATTGATGCATTGTAAAGAGGCCCAGATCTCTAGTAAGCATTAATATGAGATGACCTTTCCTGCAACTCCTGCCTCGTACAGGGTTACGTGGGGTAGAGTGGCAAACTGAGTTTTATACCTGCATTGATTTCACCTGCCTTTGCTGCATTGTATGAATTGACTTTCCTCTGTGTGTATGGTTTCTTCTGTAGTGATCTGCAAGTTAGGGAATTCATACATTAGGGATTATATCTGGACCATCATGTGTAATCCCCAATTAGCATATTTATTATGAACTTGATTAATTCTATATACATTTAATTTATCTGCCTCTAGCTTGTCTGTGAGAAGTCTGGTTGAGTTTGGTTTTTTAAAACATAATTTACATACACACTGCCTCAGTGGAAAAAAAAGTTTTGCTTTGCTTAAAGAATTACTGCCTAGTTATTAAATTGGATATTTTAAAATTTGGATTCTTGAAAAAAAAAATTCTCCTTGTATTGCTGTATATAGACCTGTTATATTCCTCTACAGAACCCTCCATGTAGAGAAACTGCTCCACACATCTGACAAATAGAGGCATTTAGAGTGTCACATATCATACATATCATTAAATGCATGTTCTGTAACTAGATTTTCATAAAAGCACAGTAGCTGGGTCTCTGAGTAAGTCAGTGCACCATGATAGAGATTTACCCTCATCTTGTTTGTGAAATTCTTGAGCAATGATTGTGAGTATTATCTCATACTGCCTTTTCTTTTCTGCAGATAAGGCAGCATAAATTACAAGGATAAAGAAATTTGCATGGACATTTAGATCTGTTCAAAATGATGTGTGCTGGGAAAAAATCTTACTTTGCTGCTGCTGTGTGCATTATGACTGTAACTTCAATGCTTGCAGTTTCTTATCTGAAGTTACAGAGACTTTCTCATCAGCCAAAAGTAATTCAAGAAGGTAGAAGATGTAGAGGGAAAATTGCCATTAGCACAATAACAGCATTAGAAGGTAACAAAACTTTTATTATATCCCCATACTTTGATGACAGAGAAAGCAAAGTCACTCGTCTGATTGGGATAGTTCACCATGAAGATGTAAAACAACTGTACTGCTGGTTCTGCTGTCAGGCCAATGGAAAGATATATGTATCAAAAGCAAAAATTGATGTTCACTCAGATAGATTTGGATTCCCTTATGGTGCAACAGATATAGTTTGTTTGGAACCTAAAAATTGTGATCCAACACATGTATCAATTCATCAGTCTCCATATGGAAATATTGACAAGCTGCTGAGGTTTGAAATTAAAAATCGCAAGCCTGAGACCTCTTCTGTTGACTTCACTGTGTGCATTTCTGCCATGTTTGGAAACTACAATAATGTCTTGCAGTTTATACAGAGTATGGAAATGTATAAGATTCTTGGAGTACAGAAAGTGGTGATCTATAAGAACAACTGTAGCCATCTGATGGAGAAAGTCTTGAAGTTTTATGTAGAAGAAGGAACTGTTGAGGTAATTCCCTGGCCAATAAACTCACACCTCAGGGTTTCTTCTGCGTGGCGCTTCATGCAAGACGGGACACACATTGGCTACTATGGACAAATCACAGCTCTAAATGACTGTGTATACCGTAACATGGAAAGGAGCAAGTTTGTGGTCCTTAATGATGCTGATGAAATAATTCTTCCCCTTAAACACCCAGACTGGAAAACAATGATGAACAGTCTTCAGAAGGAAAACCCAGGGGCTAGTGTTTTCCTCTTTGAGAACCATATCTTCCCAGAAGCCGTATCTTCTCACACGTTCAACATTTCATCTTGGAATACTGTGCCAGGAGTTAACATATTACAGCATGTATACAGAGAGCCTGACAGGAAAAATGTAATGAATCCCAGGAAAATGATAGTTGATCCACGAAAGGTGATCCAGACTTCAGTCCATTCTGTCCTACGTGCTTATGGGAAGAGCGTGTATGTTCCCATGGATGTTGCCCTCATTTATCACTGTCGGAAGGGCCTTCAAGGAAACCTTCCCAGAGAATCTCTCATCAGGGATACAACACTGTGGAGATATAACTCATCATTAATCATGAATGTTAACACGGTTCTATCTCAAACCATGCTGCAAACTCAAAATTGAAACCTCAGTTATAAGGAGTGAAAGTGGAGGGCTACCTGTATTGTGGGAAGACAGAGGATATAATTTAAAAATCACATTACATTGATTTTCACATGGAGTCTACATTTTTCTGCAATTATTTAGGGAATATCTAGCAAAGCCATGAATCACTTAATGATGATACCAAGGGTCAGTGCAGATTGTAGCATCTCTTCTGGGAAATGTACAATTTGTTTTCAGTTAATAATAAAAATCAGTATTTGTCAACTGATTCAAGTAATGCAAAATAGTTTTCAACCTATGTACAAAAAGTTCAAATACAATCATTAGTATAAAGGTAGCATTGCTTAATTATTGCAGTTTGTATGTCACTGGGTACTAAATTTGTATGGATCAATTTGAGTAAAAGGTAGACAAGTAATTGAGTACAATCTTCCTTTCAGTTGTAAAAAATTACCCCTTATGTTCTTGGAAATAGTGTATGTTAAAGATGTGATGATTGTAACACTAAACACAGCCATTGGAGTTTTGCTGATAAAAAATGTCTTGTTCAACTGGGCTTTGGAGACATGTAAGTTTGAGAAGAGTCATTGCACCTATTCCGGAATTACTAAAGTGCCAAATGCTGAGTTGTGTCAGCAAGCTTTAATAGAGGCAAGGGAGAGAGATTCATCTCAATGAAAAAGATACTTTTGTGAACGAAAAAGAACCTATTTCAAGGAGGAAAAAATAGACAGCCAAACAACTTTTATGAAATGTAATATTTTGTTGGGTTTTTTTCTGGCACCTTGAAGCCTCGTAGGAAAATATTTTGTGAAATTTAGACACAAGTTGGATTTTAGTCCTTTATGTGATGGATAAGTTGAATTACATTGCTTCCTTGGTAGGTGTAAGGGTACAGAAGCTGCATTTTTTCTTAACTCTATCTGGAAATAGTGCTAAGTAGTGACTTGCTGATGGGCCAGATGGAAACCAAAGCAAACAGAAAAACCATTTGCTCATTTTTGTTTCAGTTTCAGTTTCACAGTTTCAGTTTCTGTTTGATAAAACCCCAGAACTACATGCATTGCATATGTTGTCACATTATACTACAGCCTTCCTACTGAAGGCACATCTGAAGGCAGCGATAGCCTGACACTGGTGTCTGGCAGACAGAAGTGTGTGTGACAGCAAGTATGATTTTTAAAATTTCTGCATTAGTGTCATGCTTTCATTCCTTTATCTATTTGGTAGTGGTACATACCTGTGCCCTTAAAGACCTCTGTCATTAGTGGAATAGTATCATTAGCAATGTCCAAAGGGAACTTCTACTTCGATTCACAGTGATTGCAGCATCTCCCAGTCTGTATCAGCAAACTTGCAGCTGTATTAGGATCTGGAATGCCTGCTCCTGTCAGTCATACAATCTTGTATGGCAACAGGTCCATTAAGAATTTCAGACTTGCCATTTAGAAAGGGCATCTGAAAGTCCAGCTCCCTGCTTACAGCATGGTGTGCTCAGGGCTTTGTCTAGGAAGGCTGGGCAGCCTGTTTCAGTCTTAAACTAAACTCACTGTGGAGAATTCCTCTCGTCACAAGAACCATTAACTATTGTCTTGCTGCAAGATGCCAAAATGAGTCTGACGCTGTTTTCTTTATAGCTCACTAGTTAGCTGGAGACAGTAGCAGTGCCTCCACATCCCATGCCCACCACACCTTCCCGTCTGGAGGGCTCAGCCTGGGTCTGTTTCTCAGCCATCTTGTGCTCCACCTCTCTGTGGACTCTATATAGTCAAGGTCACTAAAAGAAGTAGTTAACCAAGGTTTGCTGATTTGGAAACAAGGACATTTCTGGCACGCCTCTGTTTAATCTTTCAAACTTAATGCAGTGCTGTATAGGTGGTTCCTTTAGAAGCACACATCATAATGATACTGTTATGTTACTCCCACATTAGGAATGCTGAGAACTGGGTTTCAACACAAGTTACTGAAGTTAAGTTATTGAAAACATTCTTCTTAATGGAAGCTTTCTTCACTTAGGAGTGAGACAACAAAAGCTCACCTTTGTGAGCTCATAATTTATGCCCCACACAGTGCAGTTTGAATTGAGAGTTGTGAATTTGGCTTCTGGTTGATAAAATCCTTGAGTACAGACAACATTTTTCAAAGTAAATTGATGTGACTAAAGGTGAAAAAACTGAATGCTTAAGAGTCTGGCTTTGTATTTTAGAGACTGCTCCACTGTGACTTTTAGCTACTCCTACGGCATCCTCAAATACTGATTCTTGCATATGAAAACTCCCCTTCATTGTTGTAACTCATACCACATACCTTTGGGAATCGTGGCCTTCATTTACTATTAAGTATGAAATCAGGTCTCCTTGAATAGTGGGAAGAAAAAATCACACTAGTAATGCTAGACAGTTTTGTCCTCTGAAGGGCATGAGCACAAGCTTCATGAAAACTCACGTTTTCAAGTTGTGTGAAAAAAAAATGACATTAAGGTGGGAGGGAGGGAGGGAAGGCAGGAAGGAAGGTAGATCAACCTGAAGCATTTCTAAAGCATGTGATGTAGATGCAGCTTTAAAGTACATGTCAAATAGCACAAAAATATGTGGACAAATGCTTGTTAAAGGACTCGTTTGATTCTTCTGGTTCAAAGGCTCAGTATTAAAAGCTGTCATATGGAAAAACATTTTGAAGAGAAAGATTCTGGAGGGAGGGTTTGCTGTTTTCTCATTTTTGCTAAGCAGCCATGCACTGCAACCAGTATTTGCTATTAGATGTACAAAAGCCTATGGTTCTAAAACAGTAGCTTCAGCTTCCGTTTCAATTAAAAAAAAAAAAAGATCAGAAGTCAGGTCAAGCACAACTTGATTTCAGACTTGGTAGCAGATTTGAACGGTTTAAACATTACAAGCTATACTTCAGAGTCCAAACAGGTATATTTAAACATGAATATAGACAAAATTTTGTGGTGGATACTGTTAGCATGCTGCATTGCATTATTTCCAAAACAACCCATTCCCAAATGCCCAAATAAAAGTAAATGATTGTGCATTGCATGATGATACCATTGGATGTGCAACTTTGGTTCATGCAAAGTCTCATTTTATGGACACACTGCTGATAGGCCATAAATTCCTGAAGATTCTGTACGTGTGAGCTTTTCAGCCATGTTCTTTCCATAACACCAAATGGATACTATGGTCTGGCATACTGGTGGCAAAAACCAAGCCTGTATCATTTTGGCCATTTAGTCCATTTAACCAAGACATTTCACCAGCCAAGAAACTTGAACCTCTCTTTGACTTTCTGTATTCTGGTAAAGGCCAGCGGCTTATCAGTTTTTCTGTCCTCAAGTCCATTATGTACAGGTATCTGTTGTCAAACAGTAGAGCAAATATCTCTCCAAAGCCCAGCAACGATACATTTGAGAAGTCTGGAGGTTTGATAACCCTAGAAGACAAGAAAACAGTGTTAGAATCTCCCTTACAATGTTGTCATGAGCTTGAATTACTAAAGCGAATCCTGTATGTCTACAGAAAATGTGTCTAAAGTCATCATTCTGAAGTAATTTAGAAAGAACTGGATGCAAATCTTTCAAATTAAGTAACTGAACACTTTAGCTACAGTCAGGCCTGTGGTTTCACTTCTGACTTTATATATTCAGGACAGACCCATGTGAACATAAGTGAAGGCTAAGGTTTGAAAGAGATTATTCTGCAGAGCACAAGGAAAAAAAAAGAGCCATTTCTACGTACAAATGAAAGAGCAAATGTACTTGTGTTTTACAGTAAATTTTCATATGGATTTCAAGCCTCAATATCTTTACACTAAGATGTAAAAGCTGTTATTATTCTGTTGATCACCACTCTAAAAGGCAGAAGTAAAACAGAGACATGCCTTCTTTAGATAACCAGGTTCGATAAATCATGCAAGACTAGTCCTTAGAAAGCTGTTTTACTGATGTTTTATGTTAAATTAACCATGGGATGAAATAAAAAAGTATTTTTTAGTTCCCCAACACCTTGATGGTGGCTTCCCTTAATAAATAAAACATGGAACAGAAACTGAAGAGTTGAGTCTTCCACAACTGCCTGCATGTTTGATCATAGCATTACATAAAGCAAAGAACTGAGGCACAAAAATACGTGGGGATGAAAATCTGCTCTCAGCAGTAAGAGTCCATCTTTCTGTTTTGAAAGATGGGAGAGTAAACTAAGAGGTGAAATTACTCAGTTATTCTTACTCATAAGAAGCACTTCTGGAGATCTTTCAAATATCCACAATTATTCAGGGTATTTGTATTAAGGAGTCTGCTAGCAGTTCTAAAATGCATTTTTTCTTTAGTAAGTTACTATCTTTGATGCCACCATTTCCAACTCATACAGCTTGATTCTTTATGTGGAAATGGAATGCCATCATGTTCAGTCCCTCACTGCAGTCTGATAGATTTCACTGTCATTCCACAACATTAGAAGGAGTGACAGATCAGTGGTGCTATAAGGAAAAAGAGACTTTTTAATTTCTTGTCCCAGCAAAGGACCCCCAGAAATTCCTGCTTGGTTTTCTGTATAGCAGTCTCCATGGTAACATTAGCTTTGCATCACTACATTTCCACATTCACAACTACAGCACTGCAGTCTGGTTTAAATCTATACTGAACCACTTCAGCTTACAGAATGAAAATATGGAAGAGAATTAGCATGTGGCCAGAAACAAAAACAACAATGAAACTATTCATATTATCAGATGACAAAATTAAAATTAAACTGCTTGATATGTGTAAAGCAAGATGTTTACAGGATTTTATTCAAGATTCTTTTGGTCCACATTTAAGGTAAGTTAGTAAAACTGGTTAACTACTTCTTATTTATTTAATGAAGACTGAATCCTAAACTGAATGGTTTACCTGAGAATATCATAGCTGGCAAAGTCCCACTGGTATAATCCTAGTGCTGAACTGCACACTATGTATTTACCATCAAAGTGCAGCCTAGGCTGTAGGGAGATGCTGCGGTCTTCAGAAACAGACAATGTTCTTAAGCATTTGCAGTTTATTTCCCTTCCAATAGGCCAAATCTACAATTAGAAAACAGTTAAAGACCATAAAAAATACACATTATAAACTGTTACATAAATAGAGCAAGCCTCACAGTCTCTTTTTAAGCATCAGGTAAATGTGTGCATGAGTTTTTTCCAGAAATATTTATCTTTTTCAGGTAGAAACATCAATTTTTTCAAGTGACTTGTCTTACAGTGCAGCACATGTTGTTTCTAGCCTAAGAAATTCCCAGTGAAAATAGGTACTTTAAAGAATGGGGGGAAAAAACAATCAACCATCCAACTGGGACAGAAATGTAACTGTTTCAGTTATGAAACACTTCTATAGACACAAACTTACAGCACTCTCCAACCCCAAAGTCCCCAACAGTAACAGTATTTGCATTTCCCTGTTTCACTGTCACAACTTGGAAGCACCAATTCGTTGCATTACCACTGTTGTAGAGCTATCATATAAAACTAAATGCTAAGGCAAGCATTGAAAAATTAGCTTCCAAAGAGTTTCATGTTCTGCACGCAGCCTCTAAAGCAGGAAATGTGGGGAAAAACTAAATCCTATTGTTTGTAAACAAATACTATTGTTTGTAAACTTCAGCAAACTGCTCAAGCTTTTTGCTTCCCAATGTACCGAAATAATATATGCATGATATATGGTACATACCTTGATTTCATACTTATCTGCACTTAGGAGAATATAATCCCCAGGACTATGCATAAGAGATTTGACTTTGCATTTCTGCAAAACGACCTGTAATTGAAGGATGGTAATGATTTATATTGATGCTGTTAAATAAATAAATTTTCATTTGCATTTTTCATTTCACTGACCACCTGCATAGTGTACCCATGAATATAGGCAGTACAAATACTTTTTAGCAACGGAAGGAAAACTACAGTTTACACTCTTTTGTTCCTACTAGTGACAATTTACTGTACTAATAAGCGAACATACATACTTCATCTGTACACCTCTCATCTTTCAAGTTCTGAAATAATCAGAGAAAAAATATTGTTTCATGATCAGATTTTTGTTATCAAGATCATTATATTTTTACATAACTTTTAAAGCTATCTTTTTTCAGAACCAGTTTTTATTCAGTCTTTGAATCAAAACACTGTTTCCTAGTATTAGCCCAGCTACTTTGGAATTGAAATATCTTCAATGGTCTGAAAGGTTTAATTACATCCTAAATATTTTTTCTCTTGAAATGTTATTTTGTAGTATTTCCAGATGTTCTTCAGATTCTAAACTTACCTGCAGGATTAAGATTAGGAAATAAAAATTTAGAACGTGTTACAAATTTAGTGCAAATAAATGTGTGAGATTAGTTATATATCAATATTCCCACCTTAGTGACCCATTCTGTGTGTCCAGTAAGGGTATTCAGGCACGTTCCTGTTGATAAGGCCCACACTTTCACAGTGAAGTCTGCAGAGCCACTGACCAGAATATCAAGTTCATCATTGTAATCCACACTAAAAACTTCAAGCAAAGAGGGAACTAAATAAGGAATACCAGTCTCTATGCATGCATTTTTCTGTGAGACACTAGTAGCATCTGTATGAATTTAGCAGCTTCTAAATTCATATGCCACTACATCCTTAATTGTTCTTGAACTGTATAAATGAATTGTTGCTCTGGATGCCTAAGTTTACACTGCAAAATTACTGGGTTTTTTTGCCCAAATTAAGAGCATGTATATCAGTGGTTCCTTTATGGCTGGATTGTGGCAAAGTGTAACTTAAGCTAGTTCATATTTCCAGAGTTTTAGTAAGATAATTCCACAGGATTAGTATATTTTATAAATACAAGGAAAAAAACTACAGCTGAGCTGAGGGTATTTCTAAGTACACGACAAAGAATTGAATTATGAGGGCAATGCAAATATCTATTCCCAGCTCCCATTTTGCTCTTTGCTTTAAGCTCATGTCCAATATGGGAATAGAAAAAATGGCCATGGCCATGTATGCCCTGCTACCTAAGATCTGCACCTCTTTGAGACTTGAAGCTACTGAATAACCGTGGCATTTATTGTTACTTCCATGCAATTGGAAAATGCTACATGGATAAGCTTTGGCATATTCAGGGACAAGTGTCTATCTGTTCTGGTCACTTTCCCTGTTGAGGGAAACTGAGGGAACTCAGATGACAGAGACCAGAGGCTGAACAAACCGATGAAGCTAGTGTGCAAAAAGCTAAATTTAATTATATTTTGTTTGATGATGATGTACATTACTTCACTGGTGAAATTACAATTTTAAAATTTCAACATACCTGCACCAGTATGTCCTCTGAAATGCTGTGTCTTTGCCCCAGAGCTCCATTCCCAACAGGCTACTGTGTTATCGAAAGATCCTGTTACAAGCTTTTGTTCATCAAACTTCACTGCAGCACAAGTGTGTGTCTGGATACCATATATGCACTGACCTGTGCTTACATCCCACAGTTTTGCAGACAAGTCATCTGATCCTAGAATATAAAACAACAGGATAAATGCAAGATTGGTAGATTCTGGCACTACGTCTGACTGATAGTGTCTACTGAAACAGATGAACGGAAATTTCATGTGACACATCACTCAGGTTTTGACTGTACTGCAAGCCTCAGTTTCTTTCAGGAAGGAAAGGGTTCCAGCAAACTTTGAAATACAGATGAACACCAGGCCTCATATCCTGCCACTTTCTTTTCTCTACCTGAAGCTCCTCTTTTTTCAACTGCTAGCTTTGGAGAGCAAAATAAAGCTCTGGACTCCTTACATCTGCTTCTCCTGGAGGTTTCAGTACAAAAGTTGTCAGAAAGTTTTGACAATGCTGTTTTCTGTGTGTAACATTCACTACTGAATAGGTAAAAGAAAGACTGGCTAGAATCTAGTTGTTGGCTTCTAGTTAGCATCCTACTGTACCAACAAATGACTGACTGAAGGAAGTATTCCCAACTTAGTGTATAACATTGTCATTCCAAATTACTGGAAAATCCTTGGAATATGCTCTGACAGCGATTCATTGTAATGGTTACTATTGTTTCATACTAAGGCTTCATATATGTTCTGTCTGTAACTTAAGTTCAAACTGAAATACTGCAGTCTCTACTCTTCCGGGAGGAAGCTGAAATTATGTGCAAGTCAGACTAGTAGCAAGGTTAAATCTGGTTTTACAGCACTTCATAAAGCACTTATGTTAGGAACTGAAATTGCTTACAGCCTTGTTTCAAAGAAGATAGGATTTTTCTTCCACGCTCTGGGAGACTGAAGTTCTCTCACAGCCTAAAGTCCTTTTAATTGAAAGCTATCTCTAAGAGGATAGCTAACATATCTGTACTTTCCAAATGGGCTTACTTATAGTAACAGCATGATCAAAATCACAGAGCAATCTGGATTGGAAGGGCCCTTAAAAATCATTTAGTTCCAACCATGGTGCCATTGGCAGGGACAATGATACCTACTGTTACTGTTTCTTTATCAAACAAAGACATTGGTCTCCTTGTGTTCTTAGTACAGTGACTAATGAGTTTATTAGTACACCAGGTGTTTAAAAAATTGAAAAAATAAGTAATTTTGAATTATCATCTGTATTCACACTATGACAATAATTTGCCTGGTAAAAGAAAAGCAAATTGTCATTAATCTTATGAGGGGGAAGAGAAAACAAAGAATTTTAAGACTCCCAAGTTGTCTGTCCTTCCTACCTGTACACAGAAGTCCATCTTTATAGTAAAGTGCATATACTCTGGCACTGTGTCCAATTAAAGAGGATGTCTCAAAGGCTTCGTGGTCCTTCAGTTGCTTCATCCTTAAAATAGCTTTTAGGTAAACCTTCTTCCAATGTAGAGGATCCTGAACAGAGTCATCTATCTGCCAACCCAAATTCTTACAGGCAGTCTGCCACACCTCTGTACAGGCACTTATAACCTTGTTCCACTGCTTAGAGACGAGGCAACATGTGAGTAAGGTCTGTGGATCAAGCCATTTTAACAGATAAAAACTAAGTTCCAATGGAAGAAGTTTGAGGAAGTCCCTCTTGAGTAGAATCTCTAGATTATTGGAGAGGTGCCTGAGCTGGACTGCTCCACTCAAGCTAATCAGGTGATCCAGAGTTTCATTTTTCTGCAAGTCCGTCAGAGAAAGAAATGCAATAGAAATGTTATCAAGCCATGCTTCAAAGTCCTTTTTCTCCATAAGGTTATGGAAAAATTTACCTGTGATACATCAAAATACTGTATTAGTTCCGTTCAGAAAATAAGGCATGAATCACATCTTTATTACTGGTACATAAGTATTCCAAATGGCATGTTAACACACAGATTGAAGAGACCAAATGCATTTTAAAATATTCTTTAGGTTAGGACTAAGCATTTGCATGCACCCTGAACTATCATTTGTCCCACAGCAGACTTACAAGTAAACTGTATCTAGCTAGTGAATGTCAGCATTCATTATGAATGTTAACATATTTCTTGGTTCAGATTAACACTTTCAAACTCTGAGTCCAATAAGGCAGGGGTTAATTTAGGTTTTACACCTATTGCAGCAAATAAACACTGTCTTAGAGTTTACTCATGGATTATTCTGATAAAAGGAAAAAAAACAAAACACATAAGCAAAGTGATAAGCTAGTTACTAACATAATGTACTCATACCTTCCTCCTGAACTATTTTAAATACAAAGCAGATAACTAGTTAAGTTCTCAAAAAAGTATACAAAGATGTCTGACAAATTGTGCTGGGGGATACGTTAGTCTTTCTAATTTTTCTATTTGGCCCACGTAAAGGCCTGAGCTTGTGCTCGTCTAGCATCAGTTTTGATGTGTCTGCATCACTTTGACCTAAATGCATTTTAAAAATCCTGTTGTTGTATTTTTTTTTCCTATTTCCTCAGTTTATTTCCACTGAGACTTAACTGTGAAATTGAATACCACCCCCTGAACGCACTTATACTATCCTGTGACATCTCAAGTTCCTTCAGTGACCTGGGACCATTGATTAAGAAGATAAACATCAGGTAAGCAGTTAAAAAATAACATACATTTATTTTCTCTGGAAGGTCTAATTCATTAGATAACTGTCTGAATTTCACAGCACTCCCAAACTGAAAGAACTGAGGTATCTGAGTGGGACTCAATAGCATGTTTATTTCTATACACACATTTTACCATCATAGAATTAGATCTTAGAGCACACCTCTTAACAGGGCATAGGAGTACAGAAAATTACAGTCATCTCTATAAAAGGCTGCACATGGCATGCAATTGTTGATAAAACACACAAGAAGGTTCTGGATGTCGATTCCACAGAACCAGCTGCTCCTATAAAATCACAAGTTCATTACAGTAACTTTTACTGCAGACAGCACTTACCAGCTTTCCTCAACACATATGGCAGTGAATACAGTTGCTGTTGAAACAGGCACGTGTTAAAGTAAAAAATTCTAATACGCCGGCTACGAATAAAAACTCCGTTAGCCCCAAGGCGTTCGTTGTATTCAATACGTGAAGATATTACTGAAATTAAGGGCTGCTGTGAGGCCGCTGAAACCAGTGCTCGAGCCTCTTTTCCAGGTGTTACGCAGCCAGCCCTATCCGCTCCCCCCGACCGCTCCCAATATACCTCCACATGCAAAAAGCACGGCGAGGACTGCAGACTCAGCGCCGCTGCTGCCGATAGCTCCGCGTCGCTCACCTCAGGTAGCAGCCCGGTGCGGGGTGTTCGTCGGCGGGCAGTCGCCACGGCTTGCGCGGACTCCCGGAGTCCAGCACGGCCGGGTGCTTCCCTGCGGCCATCGCTCCTACGGCAGGACCGGCTCTCAGCACTTCCGCAGCCCACGCCACAATCTGCAGGCACCCACGGCAGAAGGGTTACCCCCAAGAGGAGACCAGGGCCTCACGACCGCCCGACGCTGAAGGGAGGGGAGGCTGGGCCAAGCCCGCGCTGGGCGAACCGCCGGCACCGGAGAGAAGGCGCTCCCAGACCCGTCGCTCTCACGAACAGGCGGCTTCCGGCGCATCCCAACGTCATCGTTCCCCGCCGCCGCGCCCAGCCGCTTCCACCCGGCCCGCTCCTGCTGTCCGGCGCGCTCGTAGCGGCGCCCCGGCGAGAGGCGACTGGGGACGGACGCGTCGACGCTTCCCCACAGGCGAGACATGGCTGCTGAGGAATTTGGCTGCCTGCTGGGTTCCGCCGCTTCCGACTCGTACCCGAGGTTTTGGCAAGTTCTGTTTGTTAAGAATATTCCTGTAATTATTATGATGAAAAATACACTAGTGTTTATCATACTGACTTACAGTCACGTATTCTCTCTCCTTCTGGTAGAGGTACGGTGTCGGTGGAACCATGCACAAATCTAACGTGAAAACTGCATCCCACTTACTTGATTAATTTGGACATAATTTACTTTTTCCTACTTAACCTGCATTTATTTTCTTCACTTTTTAATTGCAGGTTTTGCCTTTGCCTGCGTCCAGCTCCATGGTTGCTGATATCTGAAATCTTCCTACTTAAAGCAAGAGGCGTATCTAGTGCTGCTTGTGTGTTAACCAACGGGGTTATGGCCTTCTAAGGAACCCAAAGAATTTCGGGATTGTATAGTAAGCATTTTATAGTAAGTGAATTACACTTATTTCTTCAGTTCCTGTGTTCTTTTAACCTGGTGTACTGACTGTAATGGCCATGTGAGAATATTAAGTGCATTGGGGCCAATATTTTTTTTTTCTAAGATGTAAAATAAAATTTAATTTTATAAATAAATGAAATTTCCTTCCTTAACTCTACCTTTTCCTTGGGCTGCATGTTACAGTGAAGAAGTGCACAACATAGCCTGGCTAATGTTAGTTTCAGACTGCAGTACTTTGTGTGGCTGTTATTTCTGTTAATTCTGACCACAGAATTAAGTCTTAATCCCAAATGAAGATGAATTCTTGGCTTTCGTGGATTTAAGGCTTTTTTCTTATTGTTGTCAAGGTGGCTAGGAATGCATTTAAAAATGCATTTAAATTTAAAGGGTTGTAGCTCTTAAGAGAATGTCTTTGCTACTTCGGGAAAGATGATTTTTCAAAAGGAATTGCAAGGTCTTGGAGACAGTAAGAATACACACTTAGCCAGAAAGGGAGAAAAACTAGTTTGCAGTGTTAGTTTACAGAGTAAAGATCCCCAACTGAAGCAGGTCTCCAAAAGTCTAAAAGATGTCTGGAAACATAAACCAAACCTAGATTATTGCTTTTATCAAAGACGGGTAAAGCTTAAGACACAAACAGCAATCTCATAGGTATGATACAGCACTTCAGAAAACTCAAATGGGAAAAGCAGTGCTGTGTGTTACATCCTTTTTCATTTCTCGTCTTTTAACTTAGCAAATTTGAAAGTCATTAGTCCTGTGTGTGTGTGAAACAGGTGAAAGAAACAGGTAGGGTCAAATTTATTGTTTATTACAGATGAAGAAATAAATCATGTTTCTTCATCACAAAGGTGATAAGCAGTACTTAAAACACTTTCAGATGTGATAGGACTGTCTCTATTTGGATGTCATATCTAAAATACAAACCATACATGCTATCGTATGACATTAAAAAAATGGTAATACATCAGCATTTAAGACCAATGGTAAAGAGTCTTTGATCACAAATGTAGCAACAGTCTTAACAGTATGCCATTATTAAATTACAAAGCAGTCTGCTACCATTCAAAGACAATTAAACGGACATTCTAGATTGATAACGCTCTGCATAAATCCTTACATAGCATTTTCCATTCAACCAGGTAAATATGCAGAAAAATATCTCCATTTTCTCTTCAAGTCAGATGCTAGTACCACAATTTCCAGTAGCAGAAGAGGAGTCAGTCAGGTTCAGGTCAGCAACAAAGTGAAGCAGCTAAGCAGTACACAGGCTGGTGAAGTTGCTGTGCTCAAGTAATAAGAGTAAAAATACTTTGTAACCTGCATGCAAGTACAGATGTTTGCTGCACAATCTCTTGAGCCTTCCCATATTGTTAATATTAGGTTTCCAGGGTATAATTTAGTCCTTCACAAAAACAGATTGAGCCTATCAGAGAAAACAGTGCTTTAACAGAATAAGCAAGCACTGTGCATATGAACCATGACATCGAATTTTTAAGAATGAAAATAGCGTGATACCCATTTTCACACACAGATGGCAACAGAAATTATTCTGAAATACCTTATCACTTGCTGATGGGATTTTCTCTTCCCCTGCCTTCTATGACCCCGTTACTTTAATTTCCTATATATATAACTCAGGATTTTTAATCCCTGAAAATTTACAAATATATATACCTATAGATGTATATATATTGAAAACCAAATCCAAATGAAAAGGGTTATATATTTCAAATGCAGACTAAGCCAACAGCTCTGGAAAAGCCACTGCATCTGCAAGGAGTGTTATAGACCCACACCTTTGGAAAAACATGTTCAAGCTAGCCGTTACTGGTCAAATATACTTAGAACAGCAGAAAATATATGTCAGGAGTAGCAACCTTAACCATATGTAACTCGTTAGGCAATAACGCTACCCATTCCAGCCCTCTTAAGTACTGTTTAAGTATTTATTCAGTTGACTGTCAAGTACAAAAAAAATTCAATCTGAATCTATCAAGTACAAATACATGCACATTTATAGAAATAATCACATGAAAGCAAAGAACAAACCTGCTGTTCATTCCAGGTGCATACTTGCATGTATGTTATGCATTGAAAAACAATGGCAAACCAACAAAAAAAAAACCCAAACAAAAAAAACCAAAAAACCAAAAAAAAAAAAAAAACCAAAAAAAAAAAAACCCCACGAAAACAAACCAAAACCAAACAAACAAAAAAAATCCCCTTAACCTAGCCAACCAAACCCCCCCTCCAAAACCTGAAAAAAAAATCGCATCCAACAAAGCAACAAAAAAACGGCCCACACCACTAGCCTTCAGAAACCACACAAACCAAAACAAAGAAGAATCCCTGCCACACCCCCAAACTAGTAAAGGGCTATAACTAGAACAGGCCTTACTTTGCAAACCAGGAAACCGAATGTATGCATGCATTCACTGAACCTAGACAGCAGTTCTCTTGCTACCATGAATAGCCATAGCCCTTTCAAATTTCACGTGGGTTTTTGTTTCGTATTAGAAGGAAGTGTTTCGTTACTTTCAAACACTTATAAAATATTTATGTGTACTGCATTGCCACTAGAATAAGGAACTGGACAAAAATTACTCTCTACTGGTTTCTAAAGCCCAATCTGGGCTTTAGGGACCTTACGAACAGCTCATCAAAGCCTTAAGGGCTCCATATTTTGTGTGTGTATGTGTGAATTAACTTAGCTCATGTGTCTGGGGGTTCTTAAGTCCTAATAACACTTCAAAGTTATGGTGATGGTCTATATGCATGCTGCAATTGAAATGCAGGACAAAGATGACAAGTAGCCCAAAATCTTGCATATCCATATTGAACAGATTTTTGAATTGTGGTGCACAGGTGTATGTACTGGACTAGATGATAACACAATGGTCCTTTCTACCCTCAACTATTTTGTGATTCCATGCATTATTAACCATGTTGGTGAGAACACACAAGTACATTCTAAATTAACTACCTGCACAATCTAATGCTTGCACCAATGTAAATGACATTCCTATAATTTAGTCAGACTAAGGCACAGGGATGAAGTGGTGACCAACACCATTTAGCCAGGAGTTTAGAGCTCTGCTGCTGCCTACAAATCCAGCACATTGGGATAGAAAGTATTTCTTGCAGAAACTTAGCCAAGGGTCCAGAAAGGGCCTAAACTTAGCCTGATAGCAAATGTTCAATCTGGTAACAATTCTTCCTTCATGAAAGCAATTCCTTCCTCCCATCCATCTTTGGCAACATTTTTCAGTTTTCCTATCAGAACAATACCCATCTTACATAGTAGAGTCAAAGATTATCTTTTCTCCTAACCATGAGATGGTCAGCCAGCATCAAGAATGCAGCCTACAGGCAGCTTTAACACCCAATGTGAAAGGAGAAAGGGTTATGTTTACAGTGGACATGGCTACAATTTGTGCCCAAGACTACTTTTTAAGTTTTAGAGAGTATATGCATGCACAGGCTGGAAAAACAGAGGGCAAACAACATGGCTCCAGCACTGGAGTGAATGACACTATAGCCATCCCAGCAGCCTTTCAACAAGCCTTGTCATCTTACGCTAGTCTTAAGAAGGAGGGGTTCTGCAAGTGTGTAAGAACTGTGCCCTTTATAAATGATGCACAAGAGCTTTGGTATCAATCCCACCAACTGCCTCTAGATTTTCATTAGCCGTCTACATAGTAAGGATGATGTTTTGAGAGAAACAATGGCTAGAAGCTAGTTCTCCTCACAGGAAGAGACACAGAAATCATAGTGGTCTGTTCAGACTACTAAAAACGTCAAAGAAGCCGCATCCTTGTACAAGGTTGTGTACACCAGCAATTTCACGATTGTGTCAGTTATTGGTTTTTTTGATACAGTAAATGTGATAAAGACCTTCACAGAATTTGGTTCCTGTGCCTTGTGTCAAATAAAATTGGAATATTATTTCTATGTTCTCTGCCTCCTACCTATGTTCTGGGCTGCTCTCCTACAATAAGTAGGTAGTAAACTACAGATACATGGCTCTAAAGCCTCAGCTACCAACTCCAGGTGTCATCTAACCCAAACAAAATGTTGTTTCACTCTCTACTTCTTTAATTAGATGTTATCCCTCTATGACACTCTAAGTACAAAAGCAAAAACTTAACAAGGCACTTACTGGATACATTAAGAATGAAGACGTTATTTTTTTTTCCCCAGGATTCAGCTCCTTCCTGTCCTACATGAGCAATGATCTGTTAAGGTCTGGTAGTTCCTAGTGTGACTTGCTTAGCAGCTTGTACCAGACCCATTAAGTCAAGCTACTGCATAAAAACAGGTAGGTGGTGAGCAGGGATGCAGTTGCTGCTGGGCTTCCCTCCTCAAATGATACCAATATCCTGTTCCAGGTGTGTACCATGAAGCCAGTATGATCTAGTTTTGTGCTTCAGTAATCCAGTATCTGTACTCCTTACAGTTCATTTGCTAGATGTCATCAATACTATAATTACAGGCAAACCTTTAAAGGGTCTTTTTCTCTCTCTCTCACACACACACACACATTCCCACCCATCCACCACCCACTCTCTTAATTAATGGTAATACTTTACAGCCACTACTGCACTTCTGGTTCAAGAAAATAACTCTTGCTTTATAGCCCTTTCTTCTATAATCATGTTTAGGATATAATGCAAATGCTGTATCTATATGCATTCTGACTACCATCATAGCCAGTAGTCAAGCTTTCTGTCATGATCTTCTCATTCTTCTTATTCTCCCTAGTGCTCCATCTCTAAGGCTATACCTAAGGATGTGTTTGCTCAGGTTCTTCAAAACAAGTTTAAAAATCTCCATATATTGCTTCAACTGCTATCAAACAATGGTTAATCATTTTAAATCATGCTGTGATGGCACAGGTGAACATCTGGAGTATATTTAAAATCCAGTATCCTAACAGGGTAAAGCAAAGTTTCCAGTTAAAATTTTAACTAAAGGCCCAGTTTTGAAACACACTGGTACAGTCTTCAAAAATATCCACAAACCAGAAATCAAATACTGCATAGAGAGAGCTGTTCTTGGAAAAAGTTGGTTCTTATCCTTTTTAAAAATACGTAAGTGCAAGCAGTGACCCCAAAAGTAGATTCAGAAGTGTTTACAACTTCCAGGAAAATAAGTACCGCGTGGTACTTTCAGATTTTCTTTAAACCTTAACTGTCCAGATAAATAAGGATAGGGTAAAGTAACACAATCTCTGGAAACAACATTCTAAAAGAATAATTACAAGTTTTTGCAAATACTTCAGTCTGGTACTTCCTTTTAGATGCTTATTGAGGTTCACCCCACATATCTATGAGTGCAATACCCACTAAAGTAATAACAGCCTTCATCTCCAAGACTAATTATTATTATTGGAAATATTGCTTCTTCTGTTGATTAGCCACCCCAGTTGAGAGTAAGAAATTACACTTCCTAGTAAGACCTTGCATATTTTCTTACGTGAAGCAATTCAACCATATTATATTATTAACTGAGAAAAAAATCACTTGGCAATCACCAGTTTTACATTCAGACAGATGCCAGCAAAAGGCACACATCTCCAGATGATCATGCTTGAACAAAATTGAAATCATGACATACGGGTGATATTATATAATAAAAACCAAGGATACAGAAGTATTTCTATATTCAGAACAAGAAACACTTGCTAATAAAGCTAAAAACATCATCTATAGAAAAGCTTTCACGGAAAAAACCCCAAACCAAACAAAATCCTTGCAAAGGTGTTCTAGAGGAAAGGGTTTAAAAAAAATTAAAATTCAAACTTGAAATATAAACCCCTTTAATACAGTAAGAGACAAGATCACTGTTTCATCACAGAAGACTACCTTATTAGCACTGAAATTTCAGTCTGCATCCAGTTAGAAAATTACAACTATCTGAAATGATTACTTATACTGTTGGTGCAAGCACAGACAACAGCTAATGATGATGTCTGCATAAGAATCTTTTTGTAGTCAGACAATTTGGGTTGGCTCTTCTGCCTGTAATGGAAAAATCTGCAGATGCACTACAATAAGAGTTTTCCAGTAGATGGACCTAAGTTTTTGTTTCCGCATTTTTTGTTTGTTCGTGGGTTTTTTAGGGTTTTTTTTTTTGTTTCAAATTTTCGAGAAATATTCTGCAAGTTTGTGCCTTATAGAAAGGTTCTCTGCTCAGGGATTTTTTATGCCAAAAGAGTTTTCAAGTTTCTCTAAACAATGAGCCAAGGAAACACCATCTTCATATCTCACCTGATTCTTCAGTGAACATACCACAGATGCATCAATTTAGGGACTGACTCCAGTGTTTGAAATGACCTTGCCTGCAAGCCTTTTTTTGTTGTTGTTGTTTTGTTTTTCAAAGACTGAAAAACCAGAAGTAGTGATCTGTGTTATAAAATTCCTCTTCCAACATGACATACACTGTTGTAAAACAACTCATGATAGTAATAACAGCAATTAACTTTGCTGCATGTCATTTAGGTAAGTCAAATTATAAGAAGCTTAGAACAAGTAATTCTTTTTGTTTACTTCAGTTTCAGCCTAAATCTCCCACTGATTACCTACTGTTAGAATGCCATGAAAAGTAATGCTTCATTAACTGAGAGAACATACCTATGTCAAAGATAAAAGCATTGCCAAATCAGGCTGTGCTAACCAGAACATGGATTCCATAAGGATTTATCACCAGTACTTCCAGCCACATTTTACTACCAGAAGCAGTGTTTGTGACATTGCCATAGAGCTTACAGAGCTGTAAGAAAATGTGAAGTAAGGAAGAAAGGTATTAAAAGTGTCTTCATTTTAAGTCAATGATGTCTTCATCATATAAAGAAATCAGCTGAAATGGATAGCTAGATGGTGAGTTCTCCTCCCTGTTTGCTGAAGTATCAGGATCTGAACTAGTGGAAAGATGACGTCTTTCAGAACAGCCTTCAAATGAGTTTGAGATTATCCTGCAAAGAGGAAGACAAAAGTTACTAAAAAAAATACAGAGGTCAGGGCAGGAAGGAACAATGGCTACTTCTAGATCCAATTGAGTTATCCTGAAGATGGACACAGACCATTACAACTAAGTTTCCTCCTGTTTTACTCTACTAAAAATGATCAAAAGGCACTATTAATGAAGCCCCTCACCCAAATAATTTCCAAGTAGGGAAATATATCAAACATAATTTTACACTGTGAGAGATTTTTTGTTTTGTTACTGTCAGTCTCCTGTATCTTGCCAGTATTCTGTATCCTGCCAGTACTCTAGGCAAACATAGGTTATGGAAACAATGAAAACAAGAGAATGGCATTGGGGGTGTCCTGGGTCAGAGCAAATTTGGGAGAGTGCCAAACAGACAAATGCTGCAGTACTTTTTCACAAAATGTATTCTGAAAATAGCAACACAAGAGCATACAAAGAAAACAAGAGTCTGCACAGTGCAGCTGCAGTAGCCCAAATTTTTATAACAGGTTCAGCTGCAGCAGGTCCCACAAAATGCCATTTATTCTTGTCTTGCATTATTATCATTATTATTATCATTAACACGTCTTTAGCAAAAAGTGTAACTGCTTCAGTACTTATGGTATTCAGATACTCTAACAAACATATTAGCACGAAATGCACGTGGATATACAAAGGTTTCGGTCAGCCTCATGCCAACTGAGATAAGCATGAGCAATCAACTCTGAAAATATTTACAGCCTAACTTAGGCTCTTTTCTAAAGTATATTTACCTGTCACTACTAGTTGATCTTACAGCTCCCTGCTTAGGGTCTGACTGTCTTCGAGAAACCTTTTTCAGCTTCTGTGCACTTTCTGTCTTCGGTATAGGCTCATCCAAGAGACCTCAATAAAGGAATAAAAGACTTAATACTTTCCACATAAAACAAAGTACTCATGAAAAGGTTAAGGTATCTGTTGCTGGTTTCCATTACTAACAATTTCTACCTAACTTAAAATATGGTCATCTTATACACGATCAGACAATGGCTATACTATTTGCAAATAGTGCTTCCTCACTGTTTCCTTTTTTTATTTTAATAATTTATGAATACTACCTGCATGTTACAAACCTACCCGTGATGGTGCAAAGATTAGAAAGTATATGTTTGGCAACTGATATGTAACACTGAGGAATGAGGAGAGTTTACCCAGCAATTCTTTACGTGTTCTGGTTGCAATTTCTTTAATTTCCATACGAGATAACGGTAGTGAGTGCAAAACTGGAAGAGAGGTAATGCCACTCGATGGTGTAGTAGTGATGACCTTGGGAGCCAAAGGTGACTTCAGAGGTCGTTCAATGCTTCGCCCGACCAGATTGCTCAGAGGTATTTTGTACAGGTTTTTGCATGGAACTTCACCTGAAACACAGAAAGAAAAAAGAGCATTACACTTGCACAACAGAATCAGTTCTTAATAATTGCAAATGAAAAGTTATAAAGACAAGCTATACTTGTTGAGCTGAGCACTGAAGTGACAAAAATCTTCTTGCTCTAGAGATCTTTCAATACAAATAAGCTAGGAGAAGGAAGAAATACAAGCAATTTGACTTAGAGAGAAGAAGAAGATTGACTCTTGGCAACACGATGACTCAGGAGCGGAACCAGGAAGTGAATTTATATGACCTGTGGCTGGTACTCCGACTATTACACTGCACTCTGTGCAGTATTTCCCGTGTGCACTGCAAACACATTGGAGCCTGAATCCCAAGCAATTTAAATTATGACTCCTCCTCTTAAGTAACACAAAACACCATGTTTTCTTAACTCCTAGAAGAAAAACAAACTCCCAAACTTATCATCAAATAAAAAAATTGTGATTACCTTCTTTTCCTATCTGCTAACAGTAAAGCAGCAGATTTAAGGGAGAAAAGTGTACACACATCTTACATTATTTAGCTGATACTCCCTTGTTTCTCCTTTATTGTTACACTATAGACTGACCGCTCATACATCATGTTACACTAAATTGTCTGTGCAAACCTTTTCAAGGCTTCTTACTTTTGTTTTGCAAAAGTTTCAGCCATTGAGTGGTTATTCTGCTTTTCTTTAAAGAAAGGAATAGCGTATATGAAATGTCAAGCTTTCTCACAATTTTATGCCCCTTTTTGCATTATGACTTGTGATCACATTGTGAAAGAGTCATCAAGATACTGAGATTTAATTCTTCCCTTCCTACAGAATTTATTTCTTCAGAACAGTGCTACCATGTATTCAGAAAGGATACTACAGTGCAAAAGCTCAGCCAAGTGCTTTATATGTGTGGAAAATAGAAAATATCTTCTCCTCCACACTTTCAGGTAGGAACTCACATTTTTTTACCATCTTTACTTAAGACCAGCCGCACCAAGATTTGATAACTGTTGGAATGATCAGAGGTCACATTACCTTCTAGAGAAGGAAGAGGTAATTCTGGCTTTTCGTAAGCTGTCGGTGTTTGAGGAGAACTCTTTGAACTCATTTCCTTAGAGCTGCTGTCACATGATCCACTCACTGCAGCAGTAGCTTTAAAATAAATATCCGACTGAAATGACAAATAACCCATCATTAGAACAGTGAGACTTTCTTAATCATCTTCTGATTCTCTTTGTCCTTGATAAACTAGGAGCAGACAGATGACCAATTATTGTAGATAAAATAAGCACGTATTTCGGTTTTGTTTGTTACGTTTTTAGCGGCAGCAACTTTTTATGTTAATTAGATCCTAACACACCACAGAAATAGTCAAACAATATTTTTCTGTCTTACCCTTGATGCTACAAGTTGAAGCTCAGGCACAACTGCTGTGTGGACTAAGTTCCCATTCACCGCTAATCGGATCTCAATGGAATCAGTAGTGAAGGCAAGAACATAAGGGAAAGCACAGACTGCAATGAAATAGAAGTTATTTGGCAAGGAAAAATGGTTAAAGCAAAAGTTTCTTGGATGCCCTACAAAAACTGTTCTTGACATCCTCTGGCAAGTTCCTTTCTTATGAAAAGTGTTGTCTAACATACTGAAAAAAATTTCACTCTTCATGCCTGGCAGAATATAGAGGGAATGGAAAATGAGAAACACAAAAAAGAAAGGGGAAAAAGTTCAACAAAGGATGAACTTGGTACCAAGGCTCCACTTTTCAAAATTATCAGAAACTTAAGTCAAGTGGCATCATGAATGTAACATGCTTATTCCCAGAACACTGGAATTCCACCAGAGCCAAGTGCAGGCAAAAATAGTAGCAAAAAATCATCTACTAAAAAGAGAAATTTTCTTACCAACAGCATAAGGAACTTGATTCCAGCTGAAGTGGAAGTCATAAGCTGATGGCTGGACAAGTGGAGAATGTCCACTGAAAGGACATACCTTTCTGTACTGACAAACATCTGCAGCAAAACAGAAAAAAGGAGCATCCATCACTTTACACTCTAAGCAACCACCACCCATTTTATAGGGAGATTTTGCAGAAGGGTGGACATTATTCACACAATCAAACATTCATGTAAAAATCCCTCTATAGCCAAACAGCTAAGCAAAAGTTGCTTTCTCTGTGAACACACTGGAAAGACCAAAATAAAAGACCTATGTTTTAATAAGTTGTCATACTTCACAAAGTATTACTGTTTCAACAGTTACCAGGTCCCTAATTTGTCTAAAGATACAGAAACAGGCAAGAAAACTTCAGAAAGCAGTGTCTGCAGAATTGTATCTCTCTGCCCTTCAAGTAGCCATATCTTCATGTAATTTACATTCTTTGAAGACTGTTATGCACATGGGTTATTACAGACACCAAGATTTCATTAATCATATAACTTGCACATGTATAAAACAGCTAGTATGACTAAAATACTTGCATTTGTAATTTCTCCAATATGTGTTTAAGTTCCAAAGAATGTATTTTGACAAATTTTCAATGAAACACTAAAATTTATTTTCAGATACAGACCTAAACTCCAATGAAAGAAGATCTACATATGTACATCGAGTTATTACCATTTCTGGCATTCCCTAAACACTTACAGTTATAGCACAACAGTAGACCAGCTTCACCATCTTCATATACATCAATAGCCGCAACAAAGTTAACCTGCAAGGATAACGGAAAAGATTAACAAACAGGCAGAGGATACTTTGGATATTACAACTGGGTTGTGACTAACAAGCAATACAATCAGTTGGGGAAGTGCACAACTACAGGTAAAAGGGAAAAAAAAGGAGAAGTGAATAAATAAATTTATAAAAATAGCTTCTTTTGTGATGTAATTTTCAGGATGTTCTCAAGATGAAAATTAGTTTCCTTTGTATTTGGTTCTGCACAGTACCGAACATTCATAACCATACCACACTGTAAAGCAATAAAAACATAACTTGTTTAGCAATATAAATTTTGGGAAATAGGATGATTTCAAAAAGCTGTGAATCAACATGGTACATTAAAGATAACAATTCTTCTTTCTTCTTTCAAAAAGTGATCTTCAAATGCACATCATGACTAGCAAAAAGATCAGATACAATTCAAAACCACTAACATTTTACAGAGGTCAACAGGGATGTACCTAAGGATTACTGAACAGTCTGAATTTACAAACTGAAAAGCAACGTTGCTTAAACCACAGTATTTTTTACATAGATTAGGCTACATAAATTCTCTTAATTAAACTTTGGTTTTGTCTTTTACATTTAGATTAAAAACAAAACGAAAACAGCCACAAAAAGTGGGATATCTGTTCAGGAAATGAGATCTTATTAGTGAAACGCATAAGGTTACATTAAGACAAATGCTTCCTAAACCATATATACTGCTTGGACAGGGAGACGGCTGAGAGACCTGATTCCATGAACAGCAGTTCTTTGACTTTCCTTCATTTAGGATTACTGTGCAGGTCAAGAACTGTTACGAAAACCTGAAAGTTTACGCATGCATACCAAATGCATTTTGACCCGTCTTTTGTAGTGACTGGAAGCCACTGCTGCTCTGTTGTCCAGAGAAATAAGCAGGCAACCCATTTCAACATCATAAAAATCACTAGCTCAGCTCATATTAATTGTCTGCTTTATTTGTCTTCCTAAAGGAAATAAGGATTCTGATGCAGAAAAGAAATGGGAGTGGTGGATGGTGATGTACTTCTCCATCCCCATTCTTTACTTCTAGTTCCTCCTCATCCAGATTAAGATTGATTCCCAGTGCTGTGGAGAAGTTTTTTATACTTGATCAGCCATGCCAGGGGCACCTCTTCATCACCAGATCCGAATAAAAATAGAGACGATTTAAAAAGAAAACAACTTATCAAGAACCATCAAATGAAAAAAGTAGTCCCTTATCTCATTAACAACAACAGATTATCTGTGCAAAATCTTTTTTTTTTTTTAATTGGGTCTAAAGCTACATGTCCACATCTCTATTTAGAAACTATACGGGAACTTTTTTCTGAAAACAAAGACATTACCTGAATCCTCTCCCTATGTCCCAGACAGATAGATATTCAGTTATTAGTTGACTGGGCAGCAGTTTCTTAAATAGAATGATAAACAATATGTAAACATTTTAGCTACATGCAAATAGGCAAATCTGAACAAGATACTGGTGGTCAACCACTGAAGTTATTTTGAAGCAATTTTTTAAACAATAAAAAACTGATACCACAAAAATAAAGCAAAAAGCTAACTACTGGCTAAGAAGGAGAAATTAACTTTTGACAACAACATTCCAACAACACAGGCTTTTTCCCAATGTCATATCTTATAACTACCTCTCTTGGGAATTATCATGATGTATCCCAAAAGGAATAAATACCTCAGAGTGTCCTAAAGCAAAAAGTAGCACACATGAGCTCCTTACCCTCCTAAGGAGATCAGCATAGCACGCACTGAGTCTGCAACAAATTATGCTCAGTCAGGGTCTGCAAAAAAGGTTTCAACTGATAAAAACTTACCCTGTTTGTTTCAACATGATGCAATCTATAGGACTCCCCCGTACTCTCATTGATTAAATCAAACTGATGCCGATATGCTACACAGATCATATTGTCACTGTCTCCAGTAGGTCCATCCACCAGCGTCATAACCACTGGAGGGTCAGAAAGGCATATTTCCTATAACGTAAACAATAGAATTACACTCTTTTTCAAGTTCCTAGTGTGGGTGCTGCAGGTACTCCATGATTTTAAAGGGATGTTTTCTGAGCACAGAAGCATAACAAAGAACAAGCAGAAACAATTCTTGAAAAAATCTGCAAGTTTTATTTAGCATATATACGACTGATTTCCACCATATGGCTTCTTACTTTTATTAGTCTGTAGGTCCAGGAAGATGATAATGCACACTCTGCCTTCCCTGAACCCCCTATACTAGCTGAGTGCTGCTCAGTGTGTTAAGACAATTAGTAACTAGATTACACATACCCGGATGTACTGGAACTGCTCTACTGGAGATTCAGGAGACGATAGCAGAGAGGTGCTGATTGAAGTGTTGTCCGAATTATATTTCTTTGTGACGAGAAGTAGTTTGTTCCGAATAGCTGCAACAATCCTCAGTTCGCTTCCGTGGTGAGTATTAATGGCATACAAATGGCAGCCTGAGGAAATAATGGTCTAGACTCTAAGTGGTTGGGACAGGGTCTGATTTTTTGGTTTGTATTTGTATGATGACTAGTACAACAGGGCTCTGATGGATGACTTGGCAACACAGAATTAAAAATTCCTCAATAGTATTATATTGACTTCTAGGAAAAGACAAAAGCCTATCGCCCTTCTGAAACTTACTTTTAATATGAAGCACATGGATTGTCACTGTACTGCAGCTTCCAGCTTTTCAAAGCAGCTTACTTCTGAAGACCAGGAAACATTGATTTCCACAAAAATAATGGGCAACACCCAGACTAATCTAAGCACTACTGTTTAACAGGGGATCTGTCAGTGTGCCAGTCCAGCTTAAAGTGTGCTTTATTTCAGTATAACATCCTCACAAAATTCTTCTCATATCTCCCAACCCCGAAATCTTATTTTTCCCTAAAGCTTTTCATCATTAGCAATTTCCATGTAACATGGCTTTTTTACAACATTCAAAAATGCCATGCTGGACTGTACTAGAGTTATTTTCAAATATAAGCTTAGCAAAGGTTGAATTGACTTGTCCAGAGAAAAAACCTACAAGTGAACACCTACACCTGCCTAAAAAGAGCTAACAAGCCCCTGGCAGCTACCAGCATCAAAGCACAGTGGATGTTTTTAATACAGGATAAGGATAACAATATCACCTTTTGTTCTTTCCAGTTTATTTTCTCTGCAGTCATATTTGCTTCTTACGATTTTTTTAGTCTCTATATCTTTTTGGACAGCACTGAGTCTGAAGACAAGGATACGAGAGTCTTTCCCTGCCGTAGGGAGAGAACCAGGAAAACAGTTAAAAAAAGAACATGGAAGTTTGAAATTCATACTTGCAATGAGAAGCAGCACCTAACAAACAGAGTAGAAGTAAACAAAGCATGATACCTCCCTGGGGACAGAAGACTTACAAACTCTCTAGGATTTACAATTGTAGTAATCAACCCCTTCAGTACAGTAGCCAAGTTTCCCACTAGGTGGTGCTGCACCAAAGAATGATCTGAGAGGTTCCAAAGAGTGAAATGCACAATATTTTGCAAATTCATAAAATCTTGCAAACTAACTGAAATACAATAGATATAAACTACAGGGCAAGAGTAAAAGGGTTAACTTTAAGAGCTGGAACCATCTAGGTGAGCAACTGATAACTGGATCCTCAACAGAGTTTGAACCCTTCAGGATACAGAAGGGTTTTCTCCAGAAATTTCACAAACTGATTTTTGATATAACTACACTTGCCAGATCCTCAGAAACGTCACCCATTCTCCAGGTGTCTTGAGAGAACTGCAAATGACTCTCACGTAGTTTGAGCTAGTTCTGTAAGATCTCAGGGTGAATTTCACCAGATGCAACCAAATTGGGCAACTCCCAGTGAGACAGAAGGAACCATGTTTTACCCAAAGCTTGGGCAAGCAGAGGTTCAGCAAATACTGAGGAAACAGACATAACAGGGTAAAAAATAATAAACCAACCATATCTGTAATGCTTTCCTGAGTTATACATAAAGATCCTGATCTTGCTTTGTGTATGTTCCCTTTATGAAACTCAATCACAGACTACTCTTTTACTGGATAAAAACCACCTCACTAAAAAAAGCGCACATTTAAGCCTTCTGAATGAGACAAAATTGTCATGAGACATACATATCCGGCAATACCCGGAGTCAGGCAAGAATGCAAGCAGGGACCTCTCCTACCTTTGTCTGTTCGGGCAATCAAAAGATCCAGAGCTTCCAACACATTCATCTGCTTTATTTGGAGAGTTTTATCAAATACTTGCACTGACGGTTGACCATCTAAAAGAGAAACACATATGTACTGAAAACCCTACTAAAACTTACTAGATGCTGGTTTTGAACCATATCTTTCTTCTAATTGAAGTCTTGGGTTTTTTTCCTTACAAAAATGAAGAGAAAAAAACCCAAAAAGAACGGCACAAAGCGCATACATGTGCCACAGCATCATAGCCAATACCTCCTCACAGGAGAGTTTTATTCTTGTCATGAATCAGATAAGGCGACTGAAATCTAAAAGTGACATTCCTTTGGCACGTTTGAGAATTATGACCAAGCACTAACTTCATTCCCTCAGTCCCGCTGGCCTTATGTAGCACACAGAGGACTACAAGGGATCAGAGTAGCAATATCAATGCTAAGGGAAGAAGTAAGATATCATTGTCACATAAGCCCTTGGCTTCATGCTCACTATTACCAAGGGCTAAGAAAACCAGACAAGCCATTTAGACACCTCTTGAACCTGGATGCAACCTCCCACAGCTTTTCAGATGGTCAAGAAAACAACATCTGAAATAAGAACACATTCAGAAATCTGCATTAACACTAGCTCGCCAATATGGCTTGATTCTACTGCAGAATGAATTTTTGCAACTGGGTTACAGAAATGTAATAGATTTACTTGGAATAGTAACTATCCCCCTACATAAAGACTTACTAACACCTGAACCGAGTTTATGAACACATATTTTCAAGAAAATGGTCAGATACATAAAAATTGACACAAAAACACTAGATCATTTACTAACCATCTATTAACAAGATGCCAGCATCTGTAGAAACCAGCAAGGACTGGCCCCAAGAATCTGCACAGACAACCTCATGAGGAAAATTACTGCAGAAAGACTGAGATTCCCAAGGCTATGAAGTAACATAAGGGATACATATTAAGTACACTAAAAAATACAGATCATACAGACACAGAATGTGATGGACAATGGCAATAACACATAAATGCTTTTGGCAGGATACATTTCCAAACAGTATATTGCTGGAATTAGAAATATCAAAACTGAAATAATTTCTGGCAGAGCACTTCCGGCATCAGTTCTGGTTTGGACACTAGTCAGACATATCCCTGAAATGCTAGAATTAAAACACGTGCAGCTGAAACTCAGCGCAACCATCACGCAATAATTTTTTCATCTAAAAATCCCAAACCTATATATTTAAAATGTATGTACCACTACACATTCGCAGTTTGCTTATATTTTATGGTTCAGTTTGTGATGTTTAGCGACTAGCACATGGTACAGTTTCCGCCTTTCTGCCAAATTGTTCTTCCATCCCGTGTTCTCTGTACTTACTTCCCAGAGCCTGCCCCTCCTCTCCCAATTTATATATTAGTTGAATCTCTGAAATTCTAGAAAGACTTCTGAAGCTTCTGTATATAAAACACATGCAGAAGAGGGCAGCTGGCATATTTCACTCCCTAATGACTTCAAACCAAATCCAAACGAAATAAAAGGAAATGAAAACACAATTGAATCTTGTTTCAAAAGTGCTGAAATTAAAAAAAAAGATGATTGTATATGGAAGATATCGCCTTCATTGAATTTTCTCAGGTGTAAAAATGTCCACACTTGCTTTAACTTTTGGGAAGTGCTTCTGTCCCCAGGCTCATTCTTTATTAATCTAATAGTGACTGCAGAATCAGTTTGACACTGTACCTTTCCTCTTTTCTGCTGCAGCATCTAATTACAGAAGTAAATAAATATATACCATACTACATAACGTTTAATGTTCCATAACTTCTCTGACAGTTTCACTCACCTCCTTTTTACAAAAGCTTGTGGTTGCCAAGTTAGCTGTGGTATCCCCTTTCACAGTGGTTTTCAATTTCAATGCCTAATACAAACAGATGTTTTATTTAAACTGAGTTTTTGTCAGCAATACCCAAAGTAAAGACTATATTAAAAGGACAATTTAGGACTAGAAAGTAATTCCAGTTTGGAATTCCTATGCGATTTTAAGTAATGAAAAAAGAAGCAGAATTCTGCATCTTCAACAATGTCAAATGGTTATTAGGTATCTTAGCCAAAACATACCTTGGCTGTTTCTTGGTTAGGGCTTTTTTGTTTGTTTGATTTTGTTTACTTGCTTTCTAAATGGCAACCCAGAAAAGAAGAGTCAAACATAGTAACAGAGAAAAACCTCCACCTCAAACTACAGAATCTAACCATCTACACAGTTTACTTTATTATAAGTAGCCAGATAGAGGATCCTCTTGTCAATTATACAAACTCACCTTTGATTTGCAAAACTTCCTAACACTAAGGCTAACTATATAAATGTCTATCTACATATACTGCCAGGCATCCCCCTAAGGTACGATTTTTACAACCTTCATTTAACTCATGTACGATATAAATATTTCTACATGTATACCTCAGTATTTACAGATAAATACTTCTATTCATGTTTTATTTTAATGTAACTTATAATAATGCAATACTACAAAACTATTTCTGGTCACAGAAAACTGCATTAAATCCTGACATAACTGCAAGGTAATCAAAGTTTAAAAAAAGGAGTGACACAGTCTTTGTAAACGTAGCTGCATACCTTCTACAGTGATCCTACCTGACCAAGCCGAACAAACTCTGCTTGTCGAGCTTCCTCTTTTTTCCGTGTTGATTTTGGGGACTCTGGTAACACATCGCTGAAGGATCTTCTATTAAGCATATTCTAAAATAGAAAATGTTTCTTTCTAACTGCACAGCTGCTCTGGGAAGAGAAACTGCAACTCTTCCAATCCTTCAGTGCTTTACCTTACAGTTTGTCATAGTTTATCACTGTCATGTTCTGTACAATCACACCACATGAATATGTGACATGAATATAGGAAAAAGAAAAGTTTAAGCAGATCTATATAGATAAAAGAAATAAACACTGGTCAAAAAAATAGCACCTTGTTAGTTTTAGAAGTACAGAACTTATTTCTAGTTAGTTAAGAATCACCTTAAGTCTTCATTATCCAAAATAAAGTTACCTCATAGATACCCAGGGTTAAGAATCATCTAAATTCACACATAACAGAACAAATGCAGATTTTTATGGTGATGAGACTAATGCCTGTATTTATAGTATCTAAATTCCCTATTCCCTCACTGCAGGTAAGCTTACACCAAGTAGGACATTTTTATGCTTCCCCTCACACCTGGTGAAGAGTCATGTCCAGAAAGGACTGTCTGTCAGCTTTCATATAACTGTAAAGTAAGTTACACAACAATCACTATTTAGCTTAGTCATATGCAATTCAGTGCTCATTAGGACTACAGTCTTTTAAAGTGACAGAACATTCAAGCTACTAGTTAGAACAGGACAGCACATGTGAGGGATACAGAAACTACTGACTTACATTTCCCTTGTGTAGGTCAGGCATCATGTCTTGGTATAAAGAGCGGATCAGCATGTCTAGAGTGCGCTGACGTTTCTGAGAAAATGTTGGTGTTTCCAAGGTGGCTTTTTCACCATTTATTACTAAATGATTATGGAAAAAAGAGACATTATGTAAATGAACTTCAACAATATCCACCAACTCTACTTTGCCTCTGTATCAAAACACCTGCTGTGTCCCTATGAATTTAAAATTGCCTTCTTTTTGCGTTTTTAAAGAATAACTCTCCCTTCAGTTAAAGGAGAAAAATTGGTAATAGAAGAATTCCACAAGGCATCAGAATACATACCTAACTAATAAAAAAAAATGAAGACAAACTACCGATCAACTTAAGTACTAAATAATTTAAATACACAAAATGAGCCATCAAGCTCCTGTCAGGTTTAATTGTAATCAACATGGTCAATTTTGAAAAATTCCTTTCTTGCTGATTTAGAAGGGCCAATACAGGTCAATGAAGTTTGGAACTGAATGATTACAGAATTAAAAAGTGCTGCACAGGCGTCCATCAGCACCTTTAAGAATATATTCAGAAGAGATGCTATTTTCAGGTTTTCGGAGCTACTAAATTAACACCTTCTATTACTAAATAATGAACAGTATTATAAATGCTTTCATATCTCCCAAGCCCTTTACAAAAATGCAAAGCTAAATATGGCTGCATGCTCTGCAAATGTGAAAGTTAGCCTCTGTCTAGTAGCCTGAGAATTTTTTTTTTTAATCTAACTGTAACAGTTTGATGGAACTGACATCCCAACTATGCTACAGATATGAAAAAAAATAATTGGATACAGATCAGCAGAATACACAAGAAAATGCATATACATTTTAAGCACCATGAATTTTAATTTGTTTGCACAATTATTTAAAGAGTGTTTCTAGCAAAAGAAAAACTGACTTACATTTCACCAACACAAAATCCCTGAATTCCTGGTGATTTGTAAACACAGGTGGGGATGGAAGAGGAGGCCCAAAGAGAGGAACGCTTTCTTCTGAAAATATTTTCAGCCTATTAAAAGTACAAATCTTTATCTATATGGAAAGTCACATCAAACTCTACTTTTTTTATAGACACTATTCATAACCAAAGGGGAAAAAAAAAAGGAAACTGTTATCTGGGTGTCTTACATAAGAATTTCAAAGGGCATAACCAAAAAAGGCTCACTTGAAATTACTCAGCAGAGCAAAGTTATGTTTCTTAGAACATAGAAGGGACATAGAATTAGAACAGACCTTCGCAGTTCTACTCACGCAGCAATAGTTTTAGTGGCACTAGCAAAATACAGCCCTATTAAAAAACACTGTAAAAGAACAGGTCTTCACGTACAAAATACGTTCTCCTTACAGATTTCCACTTTCCCTATCTATTCACCACACACATGAAATATTTTATGCTTCCAAAGTAACAATGGCTTACAACATAGGAATCTGTAGCTTGGGAACAGCAAATTCATTTACACTGAGGAAGACAGAATCAGAATAACTTCCATGACAGCTGGACCTGCCAAGTTGTTTTGATCCATAAGGAATCCAGCATAGCAATATTGAATGGCAGATACAAACCCATGTCTATTTGTTGACCAGGGCATAGCTTCTTTAAGATAAGTAATAATTCTTGGCTATTTCAAGTGATAGTTTACCAACAAGTCTTCCAAGTGGCATGTGCAGATGACACGGGTCACAGCAAGTTCAGTCGCAAAATTATAGATTCAACCTGTATCTGCTATTTTAGAAACCAGACAGAATTTACTTTCTCCAAAAGCCAGCAGTGACTGACTGATATTGAGTCTAATGGATCACAATGCCTTCATACAGTCTTTTTTCCTGAAATCTTAGGAACTGCATACAGTATGAAAGGCAGTACTACATTTGCATGAATATTGATCATCTTAATATTTGCTACACATATTTGAGACACAGTTTCATGGATGCCCTATGTCTATTTAATTACGTCCAGGTAAAAAAGCAATCATTTATAACTACAAAGGGTGTGAACTGTTCCTTAACTACATCAGAATGAATTGTAACAGGGAAAGCCGTAACAGAACTGACTAAAAAAATAGACTTCTTGAGTGACATAAAATATAAAGGCATTCTAAGCAGAAATTCAGCATCAGACCTCAGAGTGGTAATGCATTTGAAAAAAGGAAAATTTGCCTCAAAAGCCTAGAGCATCCCCTATCCGTTTTTTAGTGTAATTTTGACCACTTGGAAGACTGTCTTCACACACACACACACAAAAGTAAGAGAAAGAACAAGTTCTATTCAGGCCTATAATCAAATGACAGAAGGAAACATAATGGGGGCAAGCTGAAATGTAATGTTTTAAGGTTGTCATACAGGAAAAAAATACTATGCGACATGTACTACGACAAGATGTGTCAAGACTGGCAGAATGAAGCAATTAAGATGGACTGATCTACTAAAAGCTGCCAGTTACTTAATGCAAGAGAGAAATTTATCTTATGTACTGCAACTCATTTCCTTCCCCACATAAACAGCAATATAAAAGCATTTTACCATGGCTAACCCATCTACAGACTATCAGTTTACAATCAGGACAACAATCACTTCTTAAAGGGTAATGAGGAATGTATGCTCACGTTTCTGTCTCAAAGCAAGAAGAAAAAGAAAGAAGTGACTGCATTTTCACTTTGGAATCATGAACAAGTTTTGAACATCAATTTAAACAAATTTGCAAGAGGAAGCTGACAAGATCATGTAGCAAAATAGAACTATTCCTTTGCTTAACTGCATTACAGACATGACCCCAAAGAAACCTCAGCTGTAAATAAGAGGCAGGGGAAAAAAACTCCCACACACAAACTGAAGTATCGTTCTTGTCTGGAGTTAGATTTAATGAAATGCTGAAGAAACACAGCGATATGTAAAATTCTGGCAGGTTTTAAGTACGTGACATTCAACTATACGAGTACTCTATTAAAATCCCCCAAAATGAACTAGTTTGCTCAGCTGCAGCCAAACTGTGATTTGTAAGGACTTGTAGTCCATGGCTCTCACAGCATCACATGCATTAAATAACTGTCACCATCCACGTAGTTTACTATGTCATTGATCTCACCAGGTATGAAAGTTCCAAGTGTATCTTTCATAATTTTTTCTATTTCATCTAAAAACCAGTTTTGGGTTTCCTTAGCTTATGCCTGTTGCAGAATTTAATGTTTCTGATTTCAAGAAACCTGCTACTTCTAGCCATTTTAGTGACATCTACATGCAGGTCCACATTGCTCTTCAGTTTCTAAAGCACATTTGGCTTCCTGGCATACAGACAGGCGGATCTGTCTGTACGCCAGAAAATTCTCCCATTGCCAAAATGTTTTCCCATTTTCTCTAAACCATCAGTTATTCGTTGTGAAATTATTTATTACAATCAGCACCTACCTGTAACTATCATTCTGCTTATTATATCTCACTAAAGCAAAAATATCTGCCATACAGTTAAGGAAGCTAAACCAGTTCTAATAAAGCTCACATGTATTTTAATAAACTTTTCTTTTTGCGCAGTAGATTGCAGATTTAATAAAGGTACAATATATTAATCAAGTCAATGTAAATATATAAACAACTCTAGACAATATAGATTTCATTGTTTATAAAAGGGGTCCTATATCAAAATGTTATTGCTTGATCAACAGTTTTAAAAACCAAGCTACTAACACAGACACAGCATAAGACATACTATAGAAGTTTGTCTTACTTGTATTTGATATATTTGTGATTAAAAATACTTTTAGGTGATAAAGCAGTACTGATACTGACCTTTGCTTATACCAAAGCTTCCACTGAAGAAAATATTCCAATGAAACAATTTAGCCAACAGAATTATAGGAAAAATGAGAGAACGATTTAAAGTGCAAGCTATACTAAGGCTGATGCTCTATTGTAGAGTTACATTGATGTGGTAAACAATTCTTCTTAGTATTTAGGTTCCTTTGATATGTAAAGATTTTTATTATTTTTTCAAACTTTGTTCATTTTCATCCACCCCTAGCAAGTCGGTTCTAGGAACATTTAATCTGCCTGAGAACTACGTGTGGAAGTCTAAAGCTTTAAAACTCAGCAACAGAGTATAGACAGAAATTAAGAGTTTTCTTCTTTTAATTCATTTTTCCTCATTCCATTCCATCTAGTCTAACACATGCCAGATTGGGATCTACAGATTACTACTATTGTGACCCCATATTAATTGCAAGATATTGGCCGCTGGTTTCTGCAATCATATAGTCTTCAAAATGTTTTCAACCAGAAATCTGGAAAACATAAGCTGTTAAAAAACTGGAGAATATATGGTAAATAGACTGAAAATTTTGACAAATACTGATCTAAACCACAAATTTAAAATAAACAGCATCTAAACATTGAAAGGCAATATTGAGTAAAATGCCGAAATTTAATGCCAAAATAATTTACAAAGCCGAGAGAAATTAATTTATAAATTTGTATTTTCTGAAAAGGTATAAAATTAGATTTGTGAAAGGATACAAATAAATGCTTTCAATAAAAGTATTTAAAACTCACATTCTTGCTTTCACCTTATCCTCTAAGGGATTTAACAAACACTGTTTGATGCTGCAGACTTGGAAACTCCTAGTTAAGAAGATGAAGGTCAAGAAGGCAAGAATGAAACTGTCTTTGTAAAATAATTTTCACTTCCATAAACAGCATAGAGGGGGGAATTCAGGGCAGAATTAAAAGTAATATTGATCTTAAAAAAAAGAATAATTATTAGAAAATGTCAGGAAAAAGATACGTGTAAAATGAGAGCGAATCATGGATGGCTTGAATGCTGGAGAAGACTCTTCACCTTCCTGAAATATGATAGTGACAATGTCATTTCCAATATGTCGCTTCCTTTCTACCTGGAAAAAAAAAGGAAAACAAAAAAGGAAGAAAAGAAAGAAGAGGCAGAAAAAAAGAGATAGACAGTGACTTACGAGACATTCGTAAGTATCTTGGCAATTCTGCAACAGAACAATAGAACAATATTCCTAAACTGCAAACAGAAAAATTACAGTCAATACGACTGAGAACAGTATAAAACCATTACTTAAGTATTAGCAAGTAAACCTAGCAATGACATGGTGCACACAACAAGGCAGGTTCTAGAAGAATAGATGTTGCATATGTTTAGATAAGCACTCATAGTTTCCGTAATTAATATTAATGAATTGGGCATGGAAACGCTAGCATTCCAAAAAAAGCAAATCTATCGCTTGAAATAAAAGGACAAAAAACTCTGGTGCTGAAGTATTCTTTTGAAAAAAATATTCTGATCCATTTTCTTCTGTGATGTTGTCATCAGTCCAAGCAAAGAGCATGAGAAAACTGCCATATGTCAGAATGCATAATAAAAATAAATGTAAGAATGCATAATAAATAATAAATCAAGTAATTCGTAAGTAATTTAGGTAAATCATTATGGATGTATGATGTATAGTAAACACATGCGCCCATAAAGTATTTTTTTCATCATAAATACAAAGAAAGGGCTGAGCAATGAATGACAGCACATTTGAACAAGAACCCACCTAGTTAATCCACAGCGGTGTGACAGCACTTCTTAGGTTACCAACCTTAACATGCTCACAAGGGGAATTTCTTTCAAGCGACACTAATTGCTACTCAAGCAGGAGTTATGCATTACACATGTGAATATTCCTACAATTCACACACAAGGCTAAGTTCCAGTTTTCCTAAAGTCTTTGAGGTAATAATTACAGCAGTGAAGCTCTTCAAGTCATCTGAACACCACACTTAATCACTTCTCAGTGAACCAATTTAGATCTTCTTCACAAGTATCTCCTGTACCTTAATGGAGATGATAGCATGCATTATTTCTAAGAAACAGAATGAAATTTTCAGGATCAGGTAGGATATTGAGGAAAAAAAGTGCAGAAGTCTCAAGGCTTACATCTCTCAAATATTAATGGACAAGAAGTCCTTTATTTTTTACCAAGCTTTGGAGTTTGTGATTTAACAAATAAATAGGGAAATAAAGAGAGAACCGTGTACCTGCTGCTTGTTCTCTCTAGAATATGGTAGCATGGTTGAAACATGGAACATAATTTCATGCCCTTGAAAAACTGTATAGATGGAACAGGTTCCTGTTGTATCATCTGCAAGGGAAGGCAACATTTTCAGGAGGAGTATCTCCTCCAAGTTTTCTGAAAATCAAAAGATATTTCAAGTCTTTCTACCCAATCTTCTTCAGTTAGCCTTTTTTGTCTGATCCACTTTAGAAAATGCCCACACCACATGTTTCATGTGAGTCCAAACCAAGTTTGCAACTTATCTGCATATTCACACTTAAAACCTATTACACCTTTCACCTCCCCTTCTGAAATTACACAGGTCTTCAAGCCACAATGTCCTTCTACCATGAGGCAAGTAACATGTCAGGTTATTGTGCATCTCATTCCAACTTAAAATGAAACCGTTCACCTTGATAATACCTGTCATAACTGCATTCCATACCAGTGACTTAAGCTAACCTGACTTGTTGCTGGTGAACGAGTTCTACTTCTGGTGAAGCAGAGCACTTAATACACATACGAGGAAGCCCGTTTTGGGATTTTTTCATAACCACGATATATACAATATACACTACACACAATAAGAAGAAACATTTAGACTGCAGCTCCACCCCCCTTTCACTGCTTCAGATGAGTTCTTACTTTTAGTGTCCAGTCCTCCTCTGTAGCCTGACCAGCCTTTCAAAGTAATTGTGTCACCCAAGAGATGCAAAAATCGTTGAAAGCTTTCACTTCCAGTTTCTACATGTGGGAGGGAGAAATGTTACCAAAATAGCGCACCCATAGTAATAGAATATATCTCAAAAATGACCAAAATGAGGAAATGGGTCCTGCTTCCAGGACACAAGTTTCAGCTGAGTTAGTTTCCTTTCATGTCCTCCAAGCCTACTGCCTTTCCAGAAACAGCACCCCGACCATGCAGAATAGGCATCATCACATAACATTAAACAGCAACCTCTTTTGCTAGCACCAATGCTGTTCAAGCGCATAGGAGAATGTGATCATGCTGTAAAAGAGTGAAAGAACTACAAGCCGTGAGGTAATGAGTTGCTTGCTTCAAATATCTCTTTTTTCTAAATGTTCACGTCACACAGTCTATTTCTAGAAGAGAGATTTCACTCTCTTTCAAGCTGTAACAAGAGGCCTCCTACTGCAACTTCTTACAGACATAGAAGGCCCTATGCAACAACTTTTCACCCAACACATGAAACCAAACTAAATGACTGTTCATATAATCATTGCCTCCCGCCCTGCTTCCCGCTGTAGGCACTATCTTGCCTTTTTTTTTTTTTTAATTCAGATGAACAAAACAATTGAGGAGAAGGTGAAAAACTCACCATTACTGAACATTTCATCATCTGTAAGCTGACCATCCTTAGCATAAAGGACTCCAAATTTAAAATTCACTGATCCCTGGGAAATAAAACCAAATATTATATGATAAACAGTCAAACAGAAGACATAAAAATTTATTTCCTCTAAGGACTTTCACGTATGTTTTCACGCATGTATGTATCTTTGTATACATCCTACAAATTAGAACATACACTTTGTAACATCTCTTAATACATAATAATTTACCTTTAAACTTCGATAGTATAGCATAAAATTATTAACTTAAATTGGTGATCTATTATTATTAAGTTCGTGCTTAAAGTTATTTTTGCTGTCATGTTCAAAAAAACATTAATTTTTTTTTACTGTAATGAGCAATTGATTTCAAAGTCATCATAAGCCCATCAAAATACAAAGCTGTATTCACTGGACGGGTCTGTGAGCTAGAAGTAGTTAGGCTTATACCTACCTCTTGCTCTTCAAGAACCAATAAATCCTGTAAACAAAAACAGTATCTTTAGCCCACCTGTATTAAAGATTCTACAAGGATGATGGTTTTATTTGTGTTTATAAGTTTTGATTTGAAATGGCCAGTTCAATGGATAAAGACAGTTTAAGCAGTATTACAACATTATTATTATTATCATCATCATCATCATCATCAGCTGCTACTGGAAGAAACAAACCAGTAGTATCTATACTTAATTACTTAGATTTCCAGAAAATAACAAAGAAAAAGAACCAATCAAAAAAAAGCCACTTCCTACCTTTTGTATCTCAGGATGAAAAATTTCTCTTGGGCTCTTCTCAAATTTATCAAGACTCATAGCACTGAAAGGCAAACACAATAGTGCTTTATAGAAGGGCAAGTGCACATTTCAACGCTGAACCACCAACTGATTGCAGTTACAGCGGTTACAAAATGAATCGTTCGGAGAGCCTCTGTTAAATGGAATGTTCTGTGTAACTGCCATTTCTTTCCCAAAATACTAACTTCCAAGACTTTCTAAACTTATTTTTTATTTCAAAGACAGAAATTAGTAAGATTTTGTGCGGAGATGAGGTTTAAATTTATTTCCTTCTAAAGCACAGAGCTCTGTTCCATCACCCTTCACTTCGGCTCTACACAGAATCATGGTGAGCATTTTAGGAGGGCTCAATAACTGATTGTATTTCTCTCTTTTTCTAGTCCTCTCTCTTCTTAAATAATTCAAGGCAAGTCAAATGAAAAATGACAAGTTCAGCATCAAATTCACACTTTTTCCCTTTGTCTGGTCAAGAACAGGCTTTAAAACCACTTATTGCTGTCTTCAATGATTAAGACTTGCAAAACCATTTTTACACGTTTTATAGATTTATCATAAAAACCACAGAACGCAAGCTCTGAATTACAGGAAAAGGTATACAGGCAAATATCTAAACTGATCACTTATTTATAAATACATACCTTAATATAGATTTCACTGATAATGTTTTTGTGGGACTGTAAGGGAGACATATTTTCTGAGTACCCTGTAAACAAGAAAAGCTAGGATATATTACAGGACATACCCACTTTTTCTGCATATTCAAATAGGATTATTAATAAAAACAATTAAGTCAATAAAGAAGGAATAAAACCAAGGTAATTTTACTCAGCTATATTTACTGCTGATTTAGAGAAAAAAAAAATTCACGGGTGCTGCAAAGAAAAAAAATATGAACCATAAATGCCTACAGTAGAATTTTAAAACAATTGCTTGGATAAAAGAATCTCATGGAACACTAAGTAGAAAAAAAGTGAAACCAGTATCAGACCTGCCTATTTTCTTACCATTGTACAAGAAAATGCTAAAAGCAGTATAAAGTCAGTGCCTAAAACTGATCATAGGATGTAACCAAGAACAATTTAGGCATCATTTCTTAAAAAAACAGCTGTTGGAAGAATTAGAAAATAACTAACACTACAGATTTCTGTCAAAAAGTTTAGTATAATGTTTAGTGTTATCTACTATAGTGGAATGATATGTTCTTGTTATACAAAATAAAAATATGTAATAAATACTGGAATTCTGAAGAAAGCGGGAAAAGCATATGATAAACATATCCAAAACAAACAAAAGTCAGAACGGCAGTTAAGTATTGGTTTCTTACTGTTTTTCTCCAAAGTATTGAATGGTATTGAGGAATGCGCTGATTATTTTGCTCAGACAGTACAACAGACAGAAAGAAAGGGTTCTTCTCTGCATCTGTACCTACGTAATTCTGATGAACTGTTGGAAGAAAAACAAGCAGCACCATCAGTCATAAGGAAGACATACCCATTCCCTCGTGCAGAATCAGAGAGACACCTGTAAACATATGCATTCATACATAAAAGTATATAACTGTCTGCCTAAATAACTACATACTTATATACAGCCATGTAAAAAAAACCACCCAAAGAGACCGGTACAGTTTTCAAAGCCATGAAGAATTTCAAAACATCCCTTTTTGGTAGCAAGGGTTTCACTCCTTACAGATACCCATCCTCTGTTTTCAGGTTAAAGACACATGAAGCAAGGACTTGTTTCAGGTACAGGACAGAAAATGTTTTAATACTAAATGAACACCATACCTTTTTTCATATTGAAATAGTAACAGTTCAAAACTACAGAAACAGCAACAGCATTTTTGCAAATTACATTTTCATTGGTCCAAATTCCAATCCATCTGCAAAAAAATATTTACCTTTCCCTAAAAAATACTTCAAGTACCATCTTGTATGATACTCTGGGTTTTCCAAATGCACATCCGTTCTGTGCCACGTACCCGGAGCATAGTCCATATTCTGAAATCAAATTGGGAGACTGTTACATGCAATACCAAGTAAAAAAAAAAGAGGACAAAATATAGGCAAAAGCAAATAAAGAGTGAAATTTTAGCTGTACACTGCTACTTAAAAAGCAAGGATTTTTGCAAAGTCAGTTGGTGTGTAGCTGAAATAAAAATTTCTACCTCTCATTTACCCTTTTTTCTAATTTCTCTGTAAGTAGGTAAGTCTTGTCCTACTGTACCACTCTTAGGGGTAATGTCAGAATGTCAGTGAAAAGAAGGTCTTTCAATGTGGAATTTGAAGACAAACATTTTTAAAACTTAAATAAATTAATGCCTTCAGCTTTCATTTTCTCAGTTCTTCCCAAATTAATCCCAATGAAGTCTCCTTGCTTGACCAAAGCATGCTTTGGAAGTTCTTCAGTGCTGTTTCTCATAAATTAAGGTAAATTCCCAAGCGTCCCTCAAGCACTTTCCCACTATGACTTAACATGCAAAGAAAAAGCCATTCTCCGCATTCATTGACCATGCGGCCATCCACTACCCGCTCTACGAATCTTTCCATTATATAAGCTAATCAGCTTTTGAACTGCATGAAACTGAGCTAAAAAGACAGAGGACCAAACACAACTCTCCAAAGAATCAATGCAGAATAGTTAGTTTGCTTTCAACTCTGCAGCCAGTGCTGATAGAAGCATATGATCAGTAACAGTTCGCTGTTACTATTAGTTCAATACACACTTTACCAAAGCCTTACAAGTATCTCTAGAATATGAGGTCTTCTTTCTTCCAATATTAAGATGGGATTTGATGAAAGTTTTGCAAAGGAAGATAAAACATGAAGGTAAGTGGAAACTTAACTGTCACTGGAGGACACACTGCAAGTTTAGCAGCAAGAAAGATGAAGGGAATTACTCTCCAAGGCTCCACTCAACCTCTTTCTCTCTTATTTAAAGATAAGCACAGCTGGCAAAAGACAGCTAAGGGTCAAAAAAATGAAGCTAAACCTCATCAAGCCAAGGAGCAAAATTTAAAGCACAGAGGTCAGCCTGAACACCATAGTACCAACAGGACAGGATAGATATAGAGATGAACTAGAGACTGGGAAGCGTCAATCGGAAATATTTTTCTCCTAACACGATCAAGTGAGCAAAAATGTTACCAAAAAGAAACGCGAGAATTTTTCAAAGTCCTCTTCCTTAGAAAATGACTGCAAATACATCTTTTGTAAGTGAAAAATAACTGAAGCTGAATCATTTTCTTCAGCATTCTATGAGTATTTTTGGGCACTTACCTCACCAGAGGAGCCATTTTCCACACGGAACCGTCCAGCTCTTTGAATGGCTCCATCAGCATCACTAGATATAAGCTATAAGAGAGTTTAACACAGAGGTTCTATTTCAAAAAATAGCCATATCAGCAGCCATCAAAACTTACTACCATTTATTTTTGTTCCAGGAATCAGGACTCCCCACAGAGAAGGGATCAGTCTAGCTATTACCAATTTGACTAAAGACTTTGAATGACCCGTTAAGAACTCTGAGACAAATCAGATGCTTCACGAAGCAAGAAAAGTTAAGTTTGAAACATTTAGAAATTTGAAAGGGCAACAAGAACCTTTAAACATCTGTAATCCAAAAATGATACACTTTCATAAAATGCTAGCAGAATTTTTAAGAAAAACAACCAAGAAACAAGACCATTCATGTGAACTTACTGTGAATTAATAATTATAAATAACTTTTTATTTTCCAGCAAAAGACTTTAAGTACTAGGAATGAAAGAGCCTCTTATCAGAAAACCAATTACTTGTATTTTTGGATTAAAACACACATCTTTTATGTAGAACATATGGAAAGAAGAGAAAGGAACCTGGTGTTCCCACAATACAACTTCCAGCAACTAGGCCACCATTTTATACCCAATTTACACACATGTTACTAAATATACTAACTTTAAAATTACAACTATAGCTTGTAGAAAACCTGTGATTTCATCCCATAGTAACAGAGCTGGAGATAATTTTCTTAACTACTCCCCACTTCCGTTATCCTACAGTAAATTCATGTAATTTCATTATGACCTTGTAATCAGAATGACACCACTGACATATTTTCACAATGCATAAGAAATTGATATATGAGAAAAACGCAGTGCCAACCTAATCTCTAAATTTCAAGAAAATGCAGAATAACTGACAGATTCTAGGGAACCGTTTTCAAAATCCTAATTCTGACTAGGTCATTTAGTTTTCAGCCCTCTCCCCCTACTATGAGTCATGTACATATAAAATTACATCCACGTGTATGTACACACATAAGCATGTACACACTTTATAGCTTACGTAATTGCTAGTACTTCATTAAATACTACCCTAATATTTTGCCATCTTCAGTTTCTAAGAGGAAAAAAGGCTCAATTTCCATCTGGAGGTAAACACAGTATTTATATAAAGCTTCCTTGCCTGTTACAATGCAAAATTAATTAATAAGGCAGTAAAAAGATGTCCCATCACAGGTCTGATACATATCTATTCAGAAGCCACTTTATATTAGCTTATAACTTTCAAGTCTAGCTGAGAATGCACATTTTCCAAACTAGATCCAACTCTTTTACTTGGAAAAGAAAAGGATTAGAGCTCTGCATTATAAGCTGATAAACTGAAGGATAGGCTATGTGTACTTACAAGCTCCACAGATCCGTAATGCTTTCTGCTAAACTCTCCGCGTCTGCAACCCAGATCTTCAGAGACGGAGCTGGAATAGAAACGCTTCATCAGTGTACACAAGTACAACTAGTCTTACATTTCCCGCAATGCTACAACCTGCCATTAAAAAAATTATAATTTCTGCTGAACAGGGTTCACAGAACATAAAATCATTGCTGCAGGGAACACTTCTTACAGCATGCACAATCTCTAGCAGCCATCGCAGTCTGGCTTTCACATTACACCCAAAGCAAATACCCATGTCCTGACTGGAAGAAAAAGCTAGGATTAAATTAAATACTAAGGCATGACGCAATCAGAGTTCCAAAGCAGGTGGTGGCTCATAACCACATTCGAAAAGTAAACTTAAAGCCTCAAAGAGGACAATTGCACTGTACAACTCAGTAAGAACACATTTAGTAGGTTGCTACTGATTTTTTCAGTCTTTTTTCAGCCCACACACGATGAGAAAAGAAACCAGTACTTTAACTTAAAAGCAGCATGAGGAAACAACAGCATTTCAAAGGTTTCCCTCCATCATCTTGACAAAGATAGCAAACCAAAGTAATTCTGGAATGCGAAGTGCAAAATCCACCCGCAGTACCAACCTCGTACCACGGTATCGCATTACTCACCACCTCTTCACAAACTACATTCCACTAATTTGAAGACAGACTGCCTTGCCGCAAACCACACCCTCTCATATCAAAAGCATTTTTCTGACAGCACTCTCAATAATTCATAAAACACGAGTATATCTGCACTAATGATTAAAACAAGACTGCTTAAATATCAATATTGTCATTTGGTTCCCAATTCTAACCACCTAAACCATACCTAAACTTCAAACACATTAGCAGTCCTTTTAAAAATCAGAAATATACCCAAGAGCAAATCTCTGCCTCTTCTCAACCTAACTATATCACTCCTCACCTGCTTCATATCTTGTCATTAAAGCAGACTCTCACATCAACATAAATGCTACAGACACAACCTCATAAAAATTAGGCTTCCACTTAGATACAGGTAAGATTCACAATATCATGCAATTTGCCTAAGCGCATATACTCCCTAAGGAATCCTTGTGCCTGCATACCTCTCTGGCTCTCCATTCTCGGTTACCACCAAGATCTGTACTTGACTCTAACATATCACATCTGCTAATTTAAAAAATACACTGTGATTAAAATCAACTGTTCATATTAATTTTCTTCATTGAATTACATCCTTCCTCAATCGTGATCTATATAAGAAAAAGGGCTGCTCCAGTTATGACACTTTTAGAGTAGTTTTCATCTTATTAAGATGAACTGCCAGCACCGAGCAGGTTAGTTCATCAGTGCTTCGCACGATGTGGGCTTAATAATTTAAAATTTACTTACGTTGCAAAATATTTAAATACAGATACACCTTCATTCATACGAATATAACTAACCAGCTTACATGCACTTGCACAGCATCTACACGGTATATTCCACCTCCCTTTCCCATTTTTCTGGAAACACAGGTGCAGTTGTATAAATGAACAGCAACAATGAAGAGAAGAGAGGACCAGTTTCTTCCCGTTTCAAGAGAAGCTCCTACAAAACAGTCCTGAAAGTTGATCAACGCAGCAAAATTAAACACATTTGCTAATCTAAACATAAACGTTTTCTGGATCCTAGTGCCAAATCACAAGTTTTGTCTTTCAGAAGCTCCACACTGGAAAGCATTTTACGTGGGGGTCGCGAGGGTAGGGGCAGAAGGGGGTGAGTTTGCAGATCGCACCTGTGCGATCAGAAGGATACAGCCTGCATGCTTCTCGGGCTTGCCATTCTCCTTGTGATTTATGTGTTTGCTAGTCATTACCGGTGCATCTGTTTTCATTTAAGAAAGAGTCACAAGCACTGACGCAGTCAGCAGCCGTGTAATTCCAGCGATATCGCAGCGCTATCTGCTCACAACGCTGAACACGCTGCGAAGCCGACTCCGCAGCCGCTCGTCCGCCTCCGCCCGCAGCACCGGTAGCAGCGCGAGGGAGACGGCTGCAGCTCGGGGTCTGCTGCGCCTCCGCCAGCCCGAGGGCAGCCGCCCCACCGGGACCGCGGGAGCGTCCGGCGCCGCTCGCTCGGGGAGGCTCCTGCAGCTCCCGACCCGCGGCAGCAAAGCACCGCCTCGCCCTCCGCCATCGCCGGGCGGCAGCGCGCCCCGCCCCGCCCGAGCTGAGCCCCCGCCCCCGGTACCGCTGAGTGAGGCCGAGGAACCGGGTGGAGGCCCCTTCCGCGCTGCTCAGCTCCATGCGGGCGGCCAGACGGAGGCTTCGCCCCTCCAGCGTCGCTGCCGCGGCTCCGTCCCGCGCGGGAGGGGCGCCGGGAGCTCCCCGCGCACATCCCGCTCTCCCAGCGCACGGCCCCGCGCGTCCACCTCGGCCCGCTAACCACTGATGTGCCGCGTCGGCCGTTGCGTCAGACGCTGCGCCGTCAGCAGGGCCTGCCGGGAGTTGTAGTCTCGGGCTGATAGCCACCGGTCCGTCCCCCGCCACCGAGAGCTGCAGTCCCGCCAGGGGAATCAAACGGGTCCTTCGCTCCTGGGCGGGGAAGGACCTTAGGCAGCATCGCCCCTCTCGAATGCGCTTTCTTTGTCATTCCAACTATTTTTTCTTTTTTTCATTATGTTTTTCACCCCCTTTTTCACTCTCACCCTTGTCCTTTTTCACTGTCTTTCTCTCTTTCGCTCTCTTTTTTCTCTAACCTTTTCTTTCTCTCTTTTGCTCCTTTGCTACGTGTATTTCTAACTTTGTTTTGCTTTCTAGCCTTAGATTAAAAAAGCAACTGTAGACTATTTCATGCTAACTGGGAGTAAAAAACACCCCAAACCATAATGATTTAAAGAAAACTACTTAGTCTCTGGGAGCCTGAAATTATCTACTGCTGCACCAGACATACAGCTTTTACTCCTTTTAATATATACTTTATAGGGCCCCAATTACTGCTCCAGCTGTCAGTAACGAATAGCAATATCCATTAACCACATCATCAGTACTGCCATCTACATTACCAGTCAAATAATGACACAACTAAGAGGTAATTGCATCATGATTATGTAATCACATAAACGGGCAATCCATCACCACAGCTACCAGTCACCATCAAGCTCACCCCTCACAAAAACCTCACCGCCGCTGTGTTGTTGTTTTGGGTTTCCTGTAACAATAAATCAACATGTAATGAAAATAGAGAAAGGTTATCATCTTGTGTTAATATGCGTTTTGTTGTATTGCTCTGTATTGCAGGGTGAGCACAGGGTGAACTCTCTCCTCCTTGCTGTGACACCTGGGCTGGCAGGGATGACACAGTGACCTCGGCCAGCCGATGCTGCCTGTACCACCACCTGGCACTAACGTGTTTCATGAAAATCCTTTTGCTGGGATTTTTCTCCTGAGAAGCCTCAGAACCAAAATGGAACCAATAACGATCTGCTGGCTGTGAAGTGTGGGCTGGAGATGGTTTAGCAACAGGGGCATCTTGGATTGGTCATCTGTGCATTGTTTCTACTTGATGACCAATCATTGTCCAGCTGTGTTGGGGATGTGAGCAGTCCCAGGTTTTTATTATTCATTCCTTTCCAGCTTTCTGATGTCTCCTTGCTCTTTTAGTATAGTTCTAATATCTCATTTTCTTTTAATATAATAGAGATCATAAAATAATAAACCAGCCTTCTGAAAGGTGGAGTCAAGAGTCTCACCTCTTCCCTTGTCCCGGGGACCCTCAAACACCACCACAATCACTGGCTTGATCTGGTCTGGGAAGCACCAAATAAAATGAAATAAAAAGCTTTAAAAATAGAAAAATTAGAAATAAAAATTAAATTCAAAAAAACCTTAAAATCTATAAAATAAAATCGATTAAAAATAAATGAAAAACAAAATAAAAACTGTAAAGCGCTGTAAAGTGAAGTGCCATAAAGTGCTGGAAAAATTCCATAAAAGGAAGTGCTGCAAAGTGCCAGAAAAATTCCATAAAAGGAAATGCCATAAAGGGCAACTGTCATAAAACTGTCATTTGGAAAGTCAGCAATCTCTGTTTTGATTTTATCTATTAGTGCTAGCCCCCCTCCCCCTCTTTTCACAGCCTTGCTGTCAATGCCGTCCTTCTCCCAGCGCTGCCACTTTGCTGCAGGGCCGGAGCAGGGGAGAACAGCCATGGGCATGGGGACCCTGGGGGTATGCCTTGGGTCCCTTTTGCCCTCTCTCTTTCTCTTTCCTTCTCTCTCTTGGCCCACTTACCAGGCCAACACTGCCATCCTGGACTCAGGACCCTGACAGTCTGGGAGCCCCCCCAGCAGTTCCGCCACGGACCAGCCTGCTCCTGGCCAGCAAACCTGTGTCCTCTGCTGCCAGCACCGCCCGGGTCACCTCCATGGATCGGTCCCTGCCGCAGCCCCTGAGACCCCGCCGCTCATAGGGAGCGCTCAGACACCTCCCAACCTTGACAACCCCAAACTTTGAGTCCCCAGGTGCTCCTGACATTCTTTTTCTTTCTCTAGTCAACTTATCCTCTTTTCTTCTAAATGAGGGCCCATTTTGCTAAACTCTTTCTGGACCTCAGTTTGGCATTGAATAAACTAACACCCATGTGTTAAGACACTTCTCTGCCTTTCATGCAAAAAACCCGCATTCACACTTCTGTTTATATCATCTCCTTCTGTCAATTTTTTTCATACATGAATTTTGCTACTTGTGTGTATCCCTCAAGCTATAATTCATAATATTTCAGTAATCTAGGTAATTTTCTGATCTCCCTATTTGAAGAGGGAAGGAGAATGAATAAAATTCTTGCAAGTTTCTCATGACTGGTTTTCTAGCTACTCTTATTTATTAAGTGTCTAAGGCATTTTACCACTGGGTAGTGAGTCTGAGTTCTTTTATTAACCTCCCTTAAATCTCCCATGAGACTTTACTGGGGGAATAGGGATATTATGAGGAGACATACAAGGTTCTAATGCCCCATCCTTTATTAGTCCTTCTATTACTGGCTTCAAACCTTCTTGTCATTCTAAAGATACAGGATACTGATGCACACGTATGGAACAATCTTCTCTCTCAATTGTAAGTCTTATGGGGGTCGATATTTAATCCTCCCCTATTTCCTTCTCCAGCCCAAACTTCTTTGTTGATTTTTTTTCTTCATCCTCTTGGCCTAATTTTAAAACTCTAGCTGTCATTTTCCCATTTTCTGATATAATTCCTATTCTTAATTGCACTTGTAAGACTCTTCCCAATCAATTGCTACCTGCCCCTGGGACCAATAAGACATCTCCCATCCAAATTTCAGTTTCTTCCCTCAATTACCACATCTTTAATGACCAGAAATGTAAAACTTTCTCCTTTTGCCCCTGTTACTTTCACTATGTGTTTCCTCACACTATAACTTTGGATGGTCTGAGGGGATCAGCACAGCTCAGGTCTCGGTCCTCCAAAGGCGGGGTCTGCAGCCGGGATCGCTTGAGGGGCTCGACACAGCTCTACGTCTGGGTGCTCCAAAAGCAGGGTCTGCTGCCAGGATGGCCTGGGCGGGCTGTTCCGGTGCAGACTGAGCTGGAGCGTGGATAGCCCCCCCATGGCTCACAGCGGCTGATCCGGCAGAGACAAATCCAGCAACTGACCCCGGCTGCAGCGGCAGAAAGCAGGGATGGGACAGATGGGACCCCCTCTCGGAGTGGTCAGCGCGGTAACCACGGCCCACACAGCAGGAGAGACACCCCACACTGTCCCCGGCACAGCCAGTGGAGCGGCCCCAGGCCAGGTGGCTGGACTGACGTAAGTGCCGTAAAGGACTTTTAAAGGAGGCACCATAAGGCATGACTGTCGTAAAAGGCGCCGTAAAGCGCGACTGTCGTAAAACCGACCGTCAAGCGCGACTGTCGCAAAAGGTGCCGTCAAGCGCGACTGTCGTAAAAGCGGCCATAAAGCGCGAATGTTGTAAAAGGCGCCGTAAAGCGCGACTGTCGTAAAAGGCGCCGTAAAGCGCGACTGTCGTAAAACCTGCCGTAAAGCGCGACTGTCGTAAAAGGCGCCGTAAAGCGCGACTGTCGTAAAAGGTGCCGTAAAGCGCGACTGTCGTAAAACCTGCCGTAAAGCGCGACTGTCGTAAAAGGTGTCGTAAAGCGCGACTGTCGTAAAACCTGCCGTAAGGCGCGACTGTCGTAAAAGGCGCCGTAAATCGCGACTGTCGTAAAAGGTGCCGTAAAGCGCGACTGTCGTAAAACCTGCCGTAAAGCGCGACTGTCGTAAAAGCGGTCGTAAAGCGCGACTGTCGTAAAACCGGCCGTAAAGCGCGACTGTCGTAAAAGGTGCCGTAAAGAGCGACTGTCGTAAAACCGGCCGTAAAGCGCGACTGTCGTAAAAGGTGTCGTAAAGCGCGACTGTCGTAAAGGTGCCGTAAAGTGCGACTGTCGTAAAAGGTGCCGTAAAGCGCGACTGTAGTAAAAGGCGTCGTAACGCGGCGACTGTCGTAAAAGGCGCCGTAAAGCGCAACTGCCGTAAAACCTGCCGTAAAGCGCGACTGTCGTAAAAGGCGCCGTAAAGCGCGACTGTCGTAAAACCGCCGTAAAGCGCGACTGTCGTAAAAGGATCTAGATAGCGTTCTATGTATGTTCTAGATCACGGTTTAGGTATGTTCTAGATCGCATCCTAGGTATGTTCTAGATCGGGCTCTATGTATGGTCTAGATTGCGTTCTAGGCATGTTCTAGATCGGGTTCTAGATATGATCTAGATTTCGTTCTAGGCACGCTCTAATACGATCTAGCTTTCGTTCTAGGCACGTTCCAGATCGGGTTCTAGTCGCGTTCTAGATTACGTTCTAGATGCGTTCTAGATTAGGTTCTAGATAACGTCCTGGGTATGTTCTAGATCAGGTTCTAGTTCATGTTCTAGGTACGATCTAGATCAGGTTCTAGATATGTTCTAGTTCAGGTTCTAGGTGCGTTCTATGTATGTTCTTGATAAGTTCCAGATATAGTTCTAGGTACGTTCCGTATAGGTTCTAGATATGTGTTACGTATGGTTCTGGATACGGTTCTAGGTATGTTTCTATGTTATATAGAATTGTGTATAATATATATTCATAATATATAATACATACAATATTTAATTCTATATAATATATATAATGCTATATATAAAGTGTATATTCTATTTACAAATATTAATTGGTTTTACTCCAAGGATGAATTGAATTTGGCTGCTCAGTCATGCAACAAGCCAGTCCCTCATCTGAATGGATGTGCTTGCTTGAATGCTGGCCAGTGCCTGATGGCTGGAAGGCAAATGAAACTTTCCCTCACAAAACTGTGCAGTGGTATCATGGGTTGACTGGGAAAAAATAATGTAATTTCCTATGCCCGTTTGAGTTACTGATGAT